TTTCAAAAGACATAAAAACCAATAAAATGCCTTAAAAAGTTCTTGGGAATTTGGGAACTGTGCTACACACTGTCAACAACTGTTTAACTAAATATATTATAGTTATTTGTTTTTTCCAAATAATGTGTAATGATATTGTGATCATGTGTCAAAAGATTTGTCAGTTACTGGATCGATAAAGATTTTAAAACACAGGTATTGTTTAAGAGTGTTTTGGGAAGTCAAATGAAGCCATATTGATGGAAGAATGGTATAGTGAATGTGTTTGACAGCACACATGGGGCTTACTTCAAGCAGTGAAACGTGGGATTATTGCATCTTGTGGGAACCTGGTGACAGTGTTCTGAATCATAAGATGTTATTTAGTCGATGGTAACATGTTCTCTCCAAGTTTAAACTTGCAAGAACAGCATTTTATCCTGATGCCAGCAACAGTACTACTCAACTTTTGCTAGAGATAATCAGAAAATGTCTTTCTATTTCAATATACACTTGACATATCAGAATCCGTGAAGAAAATATTATGAAGATTAAAGAGTTTGCTTGTTATTCGCCTTAGGAAACTATTGGATCTTGTTTGTGAGACATTCCCTTGTCAATACAACAGGAAAATTACATCATGTTATATTGAAATTTGATACCTGAAATATATGTCATGTGTCAACATTAGAGATGACTTAAGGCTAGTTAGCTTCCTAATTACTCTGTTTATTTCTGCATTTCTGGAGTAAAAGAATTACTGTATATCAGCTTACCGCATTCGACATAATAAGCGCCCACGGCGATATTTGCTAATATATTGGCTAGTGAACACTCCCAAATAGCATCCCTTCCAATTGATCAATGTACACAAGACTTATTTATTCGTGTATAATACGCAATCGTGTGTTACATGCACCCTTAATTATGGGCGATTAAATTGTGGAAAATATATCTGTTGTGTATAATACGCACAGACTTTTCTTTTGTATCATTTTCACCACGAAATTTACAATCTTTCAACTGTTTGTTTTTTCTCACCAAAATTATATTCTAATAAGAGCCCCCTATTTCTAATTTTGAGAGCGCCCTGGGCGGTTATTGCGTCGAATACAGTATTTATATTTGTCATCTCGACTGAGTGTTGACACTGATAGAAGACATGTTTTTTGCCTGAAAATCAGATGTAACCCATCAGTGGTGCTTTCCCTGTGACATGCTGGTGTACATGAGATTATGTAGATGCTATTCTAGTCACAGCATGTTAAGGATGTCTGCTGGTATGTACACACAGTAATACATACTTCACAAGTCTAAATCGTTTAATGTAGCTGTCTAAAGGAAACAGAAGGGAGTCACTGTGCTTCCAACTATTCTATATGCACATTTGTTAAGTACCACCCCCAAAATACATTTTACTGTGCAATCAGTTTTAGTAGGCATTTTATTTTAAGTATTTACACATTTACATATTTTCCTTAATGTCCAACGTATGACATTCCATTGATGATGTCATAGACTTATGATGTCACTGATGAGGTAATAAAGCGATGATGTCATAATTGAAGAACATTGTGATGCTCATAAATTCCCATTTGCATGATCAATGTCGTAAAATGGGTATTAATTAAATTTTTGTGTAATATAAAAAGCCTTTTCCTGAAAGATCTTGATTAACATTTTCACTTTCATATTGAAAATAAATTAAATTAAAAAATGGTCAAACTCTCCAAGACACAACAATTGGAGTAGCACTGTGTTTACACAAGTAGATCAGTGGACATCCTTGACTGCTGAAATCCTGTTGAGTTTAATCAGCCATACACTGGCTGGAACGTAGAGAAGTCATGAAAAATTAAATTTACTGCTTTCATTGTGTATGTATGTATGAATGACAAGGATGCTGAAACCATTATTGAAACATCTTCAGTTCTTGTTAATTACAAGCTGATAATACATACCATAAACAGGCAGGGACAGTGGCCAATCATGGGATGGAATCTCAGACTTTTGCTCACATTATTTTCCAAGCTCGTTATATTTGATTTAATGTTATGAAATATAGAATCAACAATTTCCATTTCACTATGTTGTTGAACATCAACTTCAACGTCACACAGATTTGTAAGAAAAGAGAGATTGTATAACATTAATAAGATATGCAGTCTAATCAAAGGTTGTCGTGTCAGATTGTTGAGATTTTGTTATGCATGATAAAACTTAAAACCAAACTGCATCGAAATGGACTTGATTTCCTAATAAAGAATGCATAATACCATTCGGTCTTTGCGTTATCACTGTGGGGCACAGGTGGCCCAGTCACCTAAGGCATCACTTGCTGTGCAGAGTTGCACCCTTTAGTTATGACAGGATCTATTAACATGGGTTCGAATCCCACTTTGGATTAATTATTATTGTTAATTTGTCAGCACCAAGTCTATGCTACTGAGTTTCCTTGGTAGTTGTCTAAGATCTGTGTCACTTCAGGCTTTCCTCCCATAATAAACTGACACCAGGATGCCCCTGCAGTCTCCACCAGGATGCTACTGCAGTCTCCACCATGATGCCCCTGCAGTCTCCACCAGGATGCCCCTGCAGTCTCCACCATGATGCCCCTGCAGTCTCGACCATGATGCCCCTGCAGTCTCCACCAGGATGCCCCTGCAGTCTCCACCAGGATGCCCCTGCAGTCTCCACCAGGATGCCCCTGCAGTCTCCACCAGGATGCCCCTGCAGTCTCCACCAGGGTGCCCCTGCAGTCTCCACCAGGATGCCCCTGCAGTCTCCACCATGATGCCCCTGCAGTCTCGACCATGATGCCCCTGCAGTCTCCACCAGGATGCCCCTGCAGTCTCCACCAGGATGCCCCTGCAGTCTCCACCAGGATGCCCCTGCAGTCTCCACCAGGATGCCCCTGCAGTCTCCACCAGGGTGCCCCTGCAGTCTCCACCAGGATGCCCCTGCAGTCTCCACCAGGATGCTACTGCACTCTCCACCATGATGCCCCTGCAGTCTCCACCAGGATGCTACTGCAGTCTCCACCATGATGCCCCTGCAGTCTCCACCAGGATGCTACTGCAGTCTCCACCAGGATGCCCCTGCAGTCTCCACCAGGGTGCCCCTGCAGTCTCCACCATGATGCCCCTGCAGTCTCCACCATGATGCCCCTGCAGTCTCCACCAGGATGCTACTGCAGTCTCCACCATGATGCCCCTGCAGTCTCCACCAGGATGCTACTGCAGTCTCCACCAGGATGCTACTGCAGTCTCCACCAGGATGCCCCTGCAGTCTCCACCATGATGCCCCTGCAGTCTCCACCAGGATGCCCCTGCAGTCTCCACCAGGATGCCCCTGCAGTCTCCACCAGGATGCCCCTTGACAACACAAAATGCATCACAGTGTCAGGCATGACCCAGTCGGCTAAGAAGTCACAATTCACTGTGTAGAGGTGCATCCCAGAAACCTGTGATTGTGGACTTGAATCCCAGATCCCCCTGACTCTATCTTGGTTTATCAGCACCGCTTCCACTCCTGAGTACCAGGCAAGTGGTAATCATCTAAGCCCTGCATCCAGTATAAAACTGACATCCAGTATAAAACTGACATGCAGTGAAATTCTGTTCAAAGCTGCCGTGGCATCATCTCAAAGTGAATGGCTCCTGGTATATTGTTTCAAACCCATCCACAACACAAAATTCACTATTAAACTAGCCACTTGTGAAGGTTGGTTTTTATTTATCGCCTGACACAGCAATATTCCAGCTATATGATGGTGGTTTGTATATATTCAAGTCTGGACCAGACAATCCAATGATTGACATCATGAGCATCGATATACCCGGATCTTCACAGGTATTGTGAAATGTTTTCAATCAGCAGTGAACCTGTTACAAGACAAAAACACATAGTGATGTTGTGATTTGTTATTTATTGTAATTGTTAACAAACATACATCAGTGAAAAACACTGTAACAAGATCAAGAAGCAACCAACTCACACTGTACCCGTGTCAACCACACCGCTCTCACCTGCTAAGCTGATACTATAGCTCACTGTAAATGTCAGTCCTTTGGATTGTTACCATAAGTACCCAGTGAGTACATTCATGCTCAATATTTCCATGAAAACCTACTTCGTATCAACATGACAACTAGTCTACACAGGGTTAGAACTTTACACGAGCCTTTACACGAGAACTTTTTACCCAGCTAGTCGAACCCAGCTACAGTGCAGTCTGTAATACAGCTGAATCAAAGCCTGGTCCCAGTCAGGTCAGATTTGACAAACAAGTGGTTGATAGCATGAACATTTTATCTGATCTTGCTAAAACTAAACTGTTTACTATGGTGACAGAGCAGCATGACTGACATGAACACATGTAATAAATAAACATGCACTGAATATGAAATATTACCCAATATCTTGAATATAATCAGACAATGAAAATGTCAAAATAAGTTTAGTACATCTGTACCAGTTGACAAACACAAACATGTTAGGACTTGGCAGGAACAAAATATATCCAATAATTAACAAAATATTCAAACAAAAATCATTCATACTTAGGTATAAAATCACTAATCATTTCTGACATTATATAATTGTTGTAAAGTTTTGGGAAGACCTGCACAATGATATGAGCTTGCTCATAAACTTTTAATGTTATTTGGACTGACAAAGGTAATGACAAATGTTCTGATTTCATATTGCAAATCACACAAAGCAATAACTGTTTCTTCAACCATCAAATGAATAGCATGTACTCCTTTGTAAATTCATTTAATCCTAAGAGGTGAGGTGAAATGGGGTTTAACGTCGCGCCCAAGATTATTGCACTTATATAGCGACGTGCATGTACTTGTGCGTGTTTGTGTGGCTGCTTGTACTAGTCCGGACTGATGCCGATTTATAGTGCTAGCTCACTGAGATACCATGCCACAGTTTAACATGAATACCCCAATCAGACACAGTATACTGACTCCAAGCTGACCAGTCCTTGTTTTAGCCCCTTAATGCCGAGCGCCAGACAGGGTAACAACAAGTACCATCTTTTAACGTCTTTTGGTATGACGCGGTCAGGGATTGAACCCCGGACCTTCTGCTCTCCGGGCGGACGCTCTACCACTAGACCACGGAGGCGGTCTTTAATCCTAAGAACAGAACCCTGCCAATGAACATGTACTAACTGCTTCAAGCCCCAAGAAAATATTAATACTTAAAGACTATTTACCAGTCTAGTAAAGTGTATACCAGTTTATGAACTTATCTGATATAATACACAGACAGATCATCTTGCAGCAACTTGAAAAAGAAAGTTAAAACTTCCTAAATCATTCCAAACATGACATGCCCATGGTAGCAATCCCCAAGTCAATATAGTGGTAGGTCCACCCAACCCCTTAAAGTAATGTTGTCACTTCTGACCGCCTCCGTGGTCTAGTGGTAGACTGGTTGGCTCAGAGTGGGGATACTGTATCTGAGCGGTGTGTACATGTGAAACTGCAACATGGTATCTCAGTGGGCTAAAATTGGCTTCAGTCTGGACACACTCATGCATGCACGCACGCACACACGCACGCACGCACGCACGCACGCACACATTGCTAATAATCTTGGATGTGATGTTAAACCCCATTTCACCTCACCTCCCTGTTTTCACTTCTGAAATAATGGGACAGTTGAGTTGACAGTGATCTACAACCTACTCATATGCACATAGATATGGCTTTTTATGGAAATCAAACTGAGTACAATGACCGTCAACAGATTTCAAGCTACTTACCTACCAAACCCACCAAGGCTTTGTAAATTGATAGACTTTTCCGAGCAATGGTGGCCGGTTACAACCATCCATGCATGCACAGTGGAGTGGCGGCCTGTTAGATTTACTGTATTGGAGCAATATGTAAGTAAATGGAAGGTAAACTGTGTAAGTTTGTAGGATTGCTATCAAATGTCCTGTAGCAGTTACGCAGAGCATACAATATACTATAGGTATATGCCAGGACACTCTAGTTACATATCAGGTTATGGGTTTTATGGTATAATGTACACTTTTAAATTCAAAGCTGACTTGTCCTAATACACATGTAGCAGCCATAATATTTCCTCTAATTAAATACGTTGCATCCCATGTTTCATTCACTGGTATGAGTGAGTGAGTGAGTGAGTGAGTGAGTGAGTGAGTTGAGTTTAATGCCACCTTAACAGTAGTTCAGTTATTATACGACTGCATGTCATTACTTTGGGTGGAAAGCTCAAGTTACCTTTATGGGTCTAGTACTGACAGATCAAGGATCTGAACATGTCTAGATCCTGGCAGAACTAAGGGATGCAACTCTGAACAGCACATTGCTGTGCCACTGTGCCAACTGTGCTCCTTATTTTCACAAAAGAACATTGTCCATTAGATCTGTATCATCTGATGGATCACGACTTAAGGCTATAAAATATATCTCATTTCTCATGACCCCCCTGCCTGATATATATTTTCTTATTTTAGTCACTGATAAGAAAAGATAGTTCATCTGCAAACAATCAGGGTCTGGTATTCTTTTATAATAATCAAATCATTGTTCACTTTATGTGTCTACCAGTATTTTAGGTGGCAGTGGGGTAGCCTAGTGGTTAAAGCATTTTCTCGTCATGCCGAAGAACTGGGTTCCATTCCCTACATGGGTACAATGTGTGAAGCCCATTTCTGGTGTCCCCGGCTAGGATATTGCAGGAATATTGCAAAAAGTTGTGTAAAACATTACTCACTCCCTCACCAGTACTGTTGTGTTTTGTAGCTTACCGAAGTGGAACAATTCATCACATACTGGCGGTTTTCTGAGACTATAAATGTCAGCTCACAAAGGATGTAAGTGAGAGTATAAGCTACCGAGACCTGAATACTGAAGAAACATAATATCACATTGGCATGATTTGATCTAGAGATACATGACAAAAACAAGTTATCTTCAAAAATACTATTCAATCTTGTTCTAAATCCTTAAATAATGCCTGGTCAGCAGATGACCTAGGTTAATGATGAGGTTGATTATTGTTGAAAAAAACACCCAATTCCTTAAAAATCTATAAAAAAAACCATGCTGTGAAACAAAAAAACCCACATGTAATGTAAGATTTAAACAAACATCTAATCACAAGAATAATAACAAATAGCAAAATCTTTAGACTGTAGGAATAGTGTCTTAAAGAATATGCACTCATATAAAACTGTGTGTACCTTAATGTTTGATGAAGAAGAAAGACAAAAAAAACAAAATGCATTATAAGCTTGAAAAGTTCAAACTGATGGGTCATTTATATTTTATTAATTGTTTCACTATTTCGGACTCACTATTGCATGCCAAAGGCCAAAATAAAAATAAACTTTAAGTCATTAACTACAAATATCTTGGAAGTGCAAGTTGCACAAACCCAAACAGATGCAATATCTTTCTAATAACTTTCTAATATCTTTGACACACACATGTTAACAAACTATTTCTGTGCATTATATCTGTTGAGTTTCAGCAGCAATGAAAAAGTGTCAAAATCAACCATGTATGCTTCCCATATCAAGTCATCAACAGATATTAACTTGTTGGATCACAGATTTCTTCCGCCAAAGTCAGATGTTGGAAGAAAGAGAGAAAAGCAAAAAATGACATCAGCCTCAATCTAAATGATCTAGGTACTTGCATTTTCGAATTCTACTAGTCTGTTACATGTTGCTTATCACTGAAGACTAAGGTAAGCTAAATTAATAGACAAGTTAAATTGAGTATGATAACAGTGTTGAGGATTTTTCTAAAAGTACTTTTGTGTCTGATGAGTTGGCTGAAAGACGTGTCTGTCTGGAGAAAAATATTTTTGTTGTTGTTCAAAATAAGTTCAGTGGATCCATGGTTCAACAAATTAGAGACTAATGGCCATAAAGTCATAAGTTTAGACCTCACAGATACCATCAGTATATGGACATGCTGGGATGTGATGCTTGTTCTAGGATGTCTAAGAAACATTTATCCATTTCATTTTGATTGATGTGTATCTAATCAAAGCAAGTCAACGAAGAGACATACAACCAACTTGTACGTCAGCACCCCGCATACTCTCACATCAATCAACAGGTAGAAACTTCAGGTTACTTCCTACAACCAACTTGTACATCAGCACACCGCATACTCTCACATCAATCAACAGGTATAAACTTCAGGTTACTTCCTACAACCAACTTGTACATCAGCACCCCGCATACTCTCACATCAATCAACAGGTAGAAACTTCAGGTTACTTCCTACAACCAACTTGTACATCAGCACCCCGCATACTCTCACATCAATCAACAGGTAGAAACTTCAGGTTACTTCCTACAACCAACTTGTACATCAGCACCCCTCATACTCTCACATCAATCAACAGGTAGAAACTTCAGGTTACTTCCTACAACCAACTTGTACATCAGCACCCCGCATACTCTCACATCAATCAACAGGTAGAAACTTCAGGTTACTTCCTACAACCAACTTGTACATCAGCACCCCGCATACTCTCACATCAATCAACAGGTAGAAACTTCAGGTTACTTCCTACAACCAACTTGTACGTCAGCACCCCGCATACTCTCACATCAATCAACAGGTATAAACTTCAGGTTACTTCCTACAACCAACTTGTACATCAGCACCCCGCATACTCTCACATCAATCAACAGGTATAAGCTTCAGGTTACTTCCTACAACCAACTTGTATGTCAGCACCCCGCATACTCTCACATCAATCAACAGGTATAAACTTCAGGTTACTTCTTACAACCAACTTGTACATCAGCACACCGCATACTCTCACATCAATCAACAGGTATAAGCTTCAGGTTACTTCCTACAACCAACTTGTACGTCAGCACCCCGCATACTCTCACATCAATCAACAGGTATAAGCTTCAGGTTACTTCCTACAACCAACTTGTACATCAGCACCCTGCATACTCTCACATCAATCAACAGGTAGAAACTTCAGGATACTTCCTACAACCAACTTGTACATCAGCACCCCGCATACTCTCACATCAATCAACAGGTAGAAACTTCAGGTTACTTCCTACAACCAACTTGTACGTCAGCACCCTGCATACTCTCACATCAATCAACAGGTATAAACTTCAGGTTACTTCCTACAACCAACTTGTACGTCAGCACACCGCATACTCTCACATCAATCAACAGGTATAAACTTCAGGTTACTTCCTACAACCAACTTGTACATCAGCATACTCTCACATCAATCAACAGGTATAAACTTCAGGTTACTTCCTACAACCAACTTGTACATCAGCATACTCTCACATCAATCAACAGGTATAAACTTCAGGTTACTTCCTACAACCAACTTGTACATCAGCACACCGCATACTCTCACATCAATCAACAGGTAGAAACTTCAGGTTACTTCCTACAACCAACTTGTACGTCAGCACCCTGCATACTCTCACATCAATCAACAGGTAGAAACTTCAGGTTACTTCCTACAACCAACTTGTACATCAGCACCCTGCATACTCTCACATCAATCAACAGGTAGAAACTTCAGGTTACTTCCTACAACCAACTTGTACGTCAGCACCCTGCATACTCTCACATCAATCAACAGGTATAAGCTTCAGGTTACTTCCTACAAGTACAGAAGATCAGCACACTGCCTGTGCACACTGGGGAATGTGAGGACTGAAAGACTACAGGGAAGAACAGAGATCACACACTGCAGCAATAGAACAGTGTCCATAGCAACCTTGGACAGCAGCAGCAGCACTGACAAGGACGCGGAGATATCCTGTCATTTTCACTTACAAAGAAATGAACAACAATTCATACTAAATAATGCCAATAAACAGCTTATTTGATTAATCTGCTTTTGCACATTAATATTGCATTTAAAGACTAGAATAATTATAAAAAAACCTTCAAAATTATGAATATGAATATATAGAGTAGAATCAAGGTGCTGCCAGGAATTACAGATTATCGGTCAACAAGCAGAGTAAATAAACAGCCACTGGCAAACAGATCATCAGTAATTTCAGGTTTCTAGTCAGTTATTCTATAAAATACCCATTTTCAGTGAAGAAGAAAATGCACACATACAACCTACAGACACTTCACTAACATGCTGCAGTCAACCTGTTGCTTCAGTGATATAGGCTTATCAGTCTGTGACATGATCAATGGTTGACACCATCTCGTATTGTTCTAAAACATGCAGCAGTACAACATCATATAGTTTTCACTGACCAATCAGCTTTGAGAACCACTAATTTGCACATATGCAAAACATCAAGTTTTTTTAAATGATCATAACTTTTTTCTCATTACAGTAAAAAACAGTGAGAACAATTTTCTTGATCTATTCTAATCAAAATTCATATAAAATATAGTATTTTAGTCTTTCATCAGTATGAGTACACCATGTTGACTGCAGTGCCAGAGTGTAGGCTGCACATGACGACGCAAACACCATATAAAATATGCAATGTTAAACAATCATATTACAAATACAACACAGAGACATACAAAAAGACATACAAAAAAACAGCACTGACTCTCACAGATCAATACTTGTCAGTTCAACTGAATATACATCTTGTCAAGCATCCTGCCAGTCATGAAGAATAAATATTGCTTTAAATCATCCCTGAAATTGACAACAGAAGCTCTCTACTTGGGCCTGGCCAAGACACAAGTGTTGCTCAGAGTACAGCACTCCATATGATCAAACAGACCGACCCTGGATCTCACAGTGACAATATCAGGTCATTTTACCCTTGTTTTTCATCATACAGTTTGCAGGCTGACTGATCGAGTGGGTTTATCAGGTCCTAGAGCAGAAACTGTTTACAAACAGGTAGCCACAAAATGTCTAGTCAAGCACATTGAGTTAAAGTTGAAGGGACCTAAATATGAGGTTCGACAAAACCGAAAAATGAATATGGCATACATTTACCAATTGGTATAAGTTCACACTTAGCTTCAATCGATTCTACTGTAAAGTTACGTTCTGTAGGTGTAGAAACATCTGATACAGTTATCCTACCAATAAAACCAGGCCATCACCCTATGGCTCAGTCACCTTAAGCCTTGTTCATTGATCCATGATGACTGATGAGTCGAGGTAAGATCGACTTATAAGAGTAAATTTGTGGTGGAAGTTTTATTTTGGACTGGAAAATGACTTCGAGACAACTGTTACTTTGACACATCCATTTGGACACATCAGAGCTTAAGTAATGATGAATAAAGAAGGATTAAGCAGGGACCAAGCTTTTACTTCAACACACCAAAACCATGATGTTTGAATGTATTTATCATTTCAATGATAAACATAAACATTGCTAGGAGAACAGTCTGCTACTACATGCACATAATGCTCTCAGGTTTCTCTATTCCTTCAATAAAAACACTATTTCTTATTTTCATGTTTATAATTTATGATTGCTTGATAAGATATGGCAACACCATATGATAGGGTATTCCTTCATTGAATGATAAGGTATGGCTATATCATAAGGTAAACAGCAATCTTAGCACTAAACAAACTTGTACCATAACACTGACTTGTCACTAAGATGACATCACTTAATGGGTCTAGCTGAAATGCCTTATCTTGGCCTGGCCCCAGTGTCTCATCACACATACAAGCATAAATGTAATGACAGTACCATAGCAAAAATAACACAGGAAAGTCAGAAAAAAACATCAGAATAGCAAAAAGATTGTCTTACTGACTTTTTTTTATCAAAACATCAATGTTGAAAATGGTCAGTATTTCATTAATTTTACTCCAAGCACAACCATTCACCTGTGTTTCATAAAACAGCAACAAGGACGTCGCAGTGAGTTCCACAAACCCTCACTGACAGGCAATGTTTCTCACAATGGCCACGATCCATCACCATGATCATTAGTCTTGAGATTCTTGTGTCTCTCCTCACTACTGACTCTGTACATGACCTGTGTGTTGTAAGCAGCATCATGCACCACACAGGGTCTGGCTGTATCATGCCTAATGAGTGACGATGTTGTAAGTCAGATACCAGGTAATACAGAAACAAACAATTCACTCTCAGTATTTTAGCATCAGCAAAAACTCCCATCAGCAAAATAGTTCTTTAGGACTTCATAAGTTGTTTTCTCACAAATTTTGGGTCAATGGCTAAAAAAGAAAGAAAAAGATCTTTCCATTTCATATGTTTTCGTGCACATCTTTGACAGTTGTCATTTTTGTGAAATGTGACAAGCTTGTAAATAAAACATGGAGAAAAAAGCCACACACTGCTTGGTTTAGTGGAGAAATAACAAATAACTTTGAGCTTGAGTAAAGGTAAACATATCAATGGTATCTTTGTAACCTAAATGACATATATGTCATAATTTATTGGTATTCAAACAAGCAACCATGATAACAAAACAACATTTCCATTATCCTTATTAATGACGTCAGTGATCAATGAATTTGTTTTCATCCTAAACATGTACTTACAGCTCCTCTAAATAAATCTAACTTTCTGGATCAAAATCCATTTTGTTAGATTAATGAATTCATATTATCATGATTATAGATAGACATTTCATAATATGCCAGAAAATGGATTGTCCAAAAATAATTTCTTCGGATACTGGCACACACTTGGTATCAAAGTTATTGTCCATTCCTATTCCCCTGTGCTATGATCCCTTGACAAAGTCTCTGTCATCACATGAACACACAAACTGTGGAAGTTTTTGTTCATCATTAGTCATGCAGGCGTGGTATATATTCTGTTTGGTACAGAAACAATCTCATTAAAACCAGATCTTTCACTCTGATACTAGACCTCTGTGTGTGAAAATCTCAGGACAACTCATGTCAGGTGACTAGAGTGACCTTTGATGGACTAATCCAAATGAGGCATGCATGGGTTCTTGAGCCAAGCTGGTGTAAGCTTTTCAAAACAGTTTGTCTTAATTTTTCTACCACCTTGATTCGGAAACAAATGACACAACTATTCCTTCAATGTTACTCATTTCTGGTGGAGATGCATTGAAGTTCAGAAATGACACTGATAATAGAGCCACAAAAATATAATAGCACGACCTTCATTAAGCCGATTTGGGAATGGTGGTTAAAATTTGTTTATGAGACAGAAATCAGAAATGCTGGTCTGAGTGTTTTGCTCATTTCTGCTGAGAACTTCAAAGCCTTGACGCTGACTGGCTATCAGAAAGTTCACCTGACACGACCTCCTATGAAAGTTTTCTCAGATCATGGCACAGAGAGGTAAAAGATCTGACCTTACAAAAGGCCTCCTCAGTTAAAAGAAGGTGAAAGCCCAAAGAACACAGAACACACACGTTGCTCAGAACAAAGACATTCTTCTAAAATTGCACATTATGACATTATGGCAGGTAGAGCATACATATATCCTATACATCAACAGGGCGCATATAAAACCTAGAAAGTTCCAAGACTTTCCATGATTCCATACCTGTTCACCATGTCCTAAGTGTCATTAGCTGACACCCAGCACTACTTGAATGAGTACAGATGAACCTGGTTGCTGTTACACGTACTAGCCTGCAGGGATGTACCTGGCTTATTTAGTTTGGGATGAGGAATATTTGCATTTTCTTTTCAAAGACCATTTTTTTCTCACTGAGTGACCTGACAAAGTTGATATTTTCATGAGTGGCACAGCGTTATTCCTTTTTATTTTCATTTTATCAATTATGTAAAATCATATATAACGTTTACTAGAAAACCATGCTACCAAATTATGAAATAGCAGCATTTTCTGTACTCTGTATTTTTGTTGTGTCCATTTTATGCAAAAGGGCACCTGGTATTTTTGGCTAACATTTTTCATAAAATTCAAATATTTTAGATTGTATCTTGCAGACTGCGTATGCCACAAAGCAAGCTTTGAGCAACCTCACAGCAGAATAAGGCAGTAACAGAGCTGAGCATGCTGAACAAAATGCTGTAAATAGTGGGAGATAACGTGGTGTCATCCAGCAGGCAGATGTTAGGAAATAGTGTAGAGCCAAGACAGCAAATACAGACGAGACTGACCAGCCTTCACTTCTATCATCACTATTGTTCAGACCTCATCAGATGAATCAGTGGTCACCTCCCACCCACACATCCGGTGCTCCTCCACCCCAAAGGCTGGAGGCTCGGGGGACTCAGGTGGGGCTGAGTGTCTGGTCGTTCTCCAGCAGGATGAGGGTACACAGCTCCTTGTCCTCTGGGACATCGGCCTCCTCGTCAGCGATGGATCTCAGGATATAGAAGAGTTCTTCCTGGCGGTGGTAGAACTCCTTGTAGTTGGAATTCTTTAGCACAAGCTTCGTCAAGACCAGGTAGGATGTTCGAGTCTGTGGAGGAAAGTTCAGGTGTCAGAATGTATCCAATAAGCCTTACCAATCATATCAATGTTAAGACTGTCATAAAGAGTAACTAGTCTACACTAGGACTGTTACAAGTCTACATTAGGACTGTCACAAGTCAACACTAGGACTGTCACAAGTAAACACTGGGACTGTTACAAGCATACACTAGGACTGTCACAAGCCTACACTAATACTGTCACAAGTAAACACTAGGACTGTTACAAGCCTACACTAGGACTGTTACAAGTCAACACTAGAACTGTCACAAGTCAACACTAGTACTGTCACAAGTAAACACTAGGACTGTCACAAGTAAACACTAGGACTGTTACAAGCATACACTAGGACTGATACAAGCCTACACTAGTACTGTCACAAGTAAACACTAGGACTGTCACCAGCCTACACTAGGACTGTCACCAGCCAATACTACAACTGTCACAAGCCTACACTAGCACTGTCACAAGCCTACACTAGGAATGTCACAAGCCTACACTAGGACTGTCAAAAGCCTACACTAGGTCTGTCACAAGCCTACACTAGGACTGTCACAAGCCTACACTAGCACTGTCACAAGCCTACACTAGGACTGTTACAAGCCTACACTAGGACTGTCACCAGCCAATACTACAACTGTCACAAGCCTACACTAGGACTGTCACAAGTCTACATCAGAGATGTCACAACTTACAAGCCTACAATAGGACTGTCACAAGCCTACAGTAGGTCTGTCACAAGCCTACACTAGGACTGTAACAAGCCTACACTAGGACTGTTACAAGTTTACACTAGGACTGTCACAAGCCTACACTAGGTCTGTCACAAGTCTACATCAGAGATGTCACAACTTACAAGCCTACACTAGGACTGCCACAAGCCTACACTAGGACTGTCACAAGCCTACACTAGGACTGTCACAAGCCTACACTAGGACTGTTACAAGTCTACACTAGGACTGTCACAAGCCTACACTAGGTCTGTCATAAGCCTTCACTAGGACTGTCACCAGCCAAGACTAGGGCTGTCACCAGCCAACACTAGGACCGTAACCAGCCAACACTAGGACTGTTACAAGCCTACACTAGGACTGTAACCAGCCAATACTACAACTGTCACAAGTCTACACTAGGACTGTTGCAAGCCTACACTAGGACTGTCACAAGCCTACACTAGGACTGTCACAAGCCTACACTAGGACTGTCACCAACCAATACTACAACTGTCACAAGCCTACACTAGGACTGTCACTAGCCTACACTAGGTCTGTCACAAGCCTACACTAGGACTGTCACAATCCTACACTAGGACTGTCACAAGCCTACACTAGGACTGTCACAAGCCTACACTAGGACTGTCACAAGCCTACACTAGGACTGTCACAATCCTACACTAGGACTGTCACCAGCCAACACTAGGACTGTCACAAGCCTACACTAGGACTGTCACAAGCCTACACTAGGACTGTCACAAGCCTACACTAGGACTGTCACAAGCCTACACTAAGACTGTCACAAGCCTACACTAGGACTGTCACAAGCCTACACTAGGACTGTCACAAGCCTACACTAGGACTGTCACCAGCCTACACTAGGACTGTCACAAGCCTACACTAGCACCGTCACCAGCCAATACTACAACTGTCACAAACCTACACTAGGACTGTCACAAGCCTACACTAGGACTGTCACAAGCCTACACTAGGACTGTCACAAGCCTACACTAGGACTGTCACCAACCAATACTACAACTGTCACAAGCCTACACTAGGACTGTCACTAGCCTACACTAGGTCTGTCACAAGCCTACACTAGGACTGTCACAATCCTACACTAGGACTGTCACAAGCCTACACTAGGACTGTCACAAGCCTACACTAGGACTGTCACAAGCCTACACTAGGACTGTCACAAGCCTACACTAGGACTGTCACAATCCTACACTAGGACTGTCACCAGCCAACACTAGGACTGTCACAAGCCTACACTAGGACTGTCACAAGCCTACACTAGGACTGTCACAAGCCAACACTAGGACTGTCACAAGCCTACACTAAGACTGTCACAAGCCTACACTAGGACTGTCACAATCCTACACTAGGACTGTCACCAGCCAACACTAGGACTGTCACAAGCCTACACTAGGACTGTCACAAGTCTACACTAGGACTGTCACAAGCCTACACTAGGACTGTCACAAGCGTACCCGGGTCCTCAGCATGACACGCCAACACTTTTTACCACTAGGCTACCGCACCCTCCCTCGTCAACAGATGAATATCTCAATCCTATCAATCAACAGCAGTAATTATAAAAATGTTAAGGTTACCAGATCTCCTGCAGACAGGTTAGCCAGCTGTCTGATGATGATGTCGATGAGGACCATCGCATCATTGGTGTAGAGCAAGTTGGCGGTGCCGGGGAAACTATAAAGGTCTTGCATAAACTTTATCACAGAGTGGGGAGGTTCAGGCAGGTGCTCAAACATGCGGACAGGATCATCTGCAATAAACAATCAGAAATTCAAGAAAGAAAACAGATACTCAACAGTGGCAAACCTCATTATTCAAACACAGAAGTTAATCTCCATTCTATCTTGACAAAAATTGAAGTTAACTCTTTAGTAATAGCAAAGTCAAAGACCGGCTGAGCTAATGTTCTGGGTAGACTTAAACATAACTGATAATCATCTATAAACAAATTAAGTTGCAGTATATCCCCTACCTCCTCTATTGAAGAGCAGCATGAGCTTCTCGGTAAGCGTCTTGGCATTCTGCTGCTCGGACAGTGACTGGATGACCATGTTGTGGTTGACATCCTCGAAGTGCAGATTAAATGCAAGGATCAAGGTGATGAGCATGTCAGTGGCCTGTTCGTCGTGCTCCATTGAGGGAGGGCTTTCGATCAGGTCAAGGACGTGAGCAATGAAAGACTGGTTCAGGTGATCTGCAGATGGAAGGAAAGTTGACCTTTAGATTTGGAATAGCACATAAGTTTTAGCAATACTGCAATATTTTTGTGCCAAGGAAGGACTAAGAATGAGCTTCTTACAGCCATGCTAGGATTATGTTCAGGTACATGTGATGTTCAGGTACAAGTGATGTTCATGTACAAGTGATGTTCAGGTACATGTGATGTTCAGGTACATGTGATGTTCAGGTACATGTGATGTTCAGGTACAAGTGATGTTCAGGTACATGTGATGTTCAGGTACATGTGATGTTCAGGTACAAGTGATGTTCAGGTACATGTGATGTTCAGGTACATGTGATGTTCAGGTACATGTGATGTTCATGTACAAGTGATGTTCAGGTACAAGTGATGTTCAGGTAAATGTGATGTTCAGGTACAAGTGATGTTCAGGTACAAGTGATGTTCAGGTACATGTGATGTTCAGGTACAAGTGTAACCATTAGACTACCCAACTGCCAAACCAACTGCCAAACCAACTTTAGAAACATTAAAACCGTGGATCTGCATTGTCTGTGCAGTTGATAACTGGAGCATAGGTGAAATATTTTCCTAATTTAAGATTCTAAATTTCTATTATAAACAACCTATTATAATCTCTTACAATCAATTCACTACTATGAACAGTTACATAGTACTGGGTCAGTGAAGCACAAATATGAATACAAACAGCATGAAATCTGCATCACATCGCAGTCTCCTGTTAAACGGAACGCCGTCTGTCCCAAAATATGATGTTCACACAGAATTGTTAAGTTTGTTAAGAAGTTAGTCTTAATGCTGGTTCACAACAATAATGAACGTTACCATGAATATTAGCAGGTACATGTTCTCCTGTAGAAAACAACATTGCCATGACTAATGACACGTAGCACAATCTTGTGACATCTGAAAAACGAAATTGAAATAAATCAATACCCAATTCTAAAGGCATATTGTTGTGGTGCCTTCAACTGCAGGTCACAACAGACCAATAATTTCGTCTTTAAGACTAATTTTTTATGAGGTTAATTTCCTAAAAACATACTACAAAAAGATGTTTGAAAAAGCATATTTTCAATGTAACAAATAATTTGTAATTTACTTCCTTATAAACTGTGGGCAGTTCAGGGTAGATGTATCGGCAAACATGGTAAAACCAAACCATGAACTGACCTGGACTCACTGCCATGAGAAAAAGAGTTCATTGCAATGGAAACATGAATGATTCCCCCAAAAAGCTTTTTCAAACTAAATAACAATGGAAAAAAAGGTCACTCACTTGCAAAATTAAAAACAAAGTTGGTCTTGAAATAATTAATTTATAATCTTGTGAAGCCTACCATCAGACTTGCTCTGGATGTCTTCGCCCAGCTCGAGAGGTAGGACCGAGAACAGTAGCATGGTGATAGCCACCTTGTCCAGGCCGCTCATAGCCCCAAACACTTTCAACAGCAGCAGGCGAATACTTAGTCGGGTCTCCTGGGGACAACAGACTTGACATGATGACTGCTTCTCAATCAACCTCAAAACAACATTAAGTGTAGTCCTGGACCCACTTGCACAAAGCGATCTTAGCGCTAAGATGATCGTAACTCCCATACTTTAACATAGGCTTACAATAGTCTTAGCGCTAAGATCGTTTTGTGCAATTGGCCCCTGGGGTCCTTGAGTTTTTCCCAAGCGTATCTTGATCTAGGGACACTGTGACTTTAGTGCCAAATTTAGAGCACAAAATACCACAACTAAAATTGATCAGATATTTACAACCAGATAAAATTATCCATAACCTTTTATCATACGTCCATGTCAGAATGATGGGAGCTGATTGGTCCACATGATTTTCATAAAATACTATTTATCCCACCTTCGAGGGAAATAAGTTGTCAGCATGTGAATAAATCCCTTATACCCCGCCATGAGCAAGACAGGCTGCCTGTGGATTACTGAGAGGCAGATTAATCCCTTATACCCCACTTTGAAGCAAAAAGCTATACGCTTTTTCCGAGTCAATGAAAGTCATGTGACATAGCACAAGCTAACCTCCGCCAATCAAACAGCTGTTTTCTATCAATTTTGAATTTGTTTTAATTCTTTTACAATGTCATATTAAAACATGTCAGTAAGATAAATTTGTTGTAGCAGGATCACTTGGGGTACATGGGGTTTTATGCGTCCCTCGTAAGGTTTTATACCACGAGCCTGAGACGAGTGGTATAAAAACAAACGCGGGATGCATAAAACCCTATATAAACCCTCGTGATCCTGCTACAACTTATAATGTTTTAATCTTAAAACAAATTTGGAGTTAAAATTTAAAGATGAAGTTACATGTAACATGTTTAATTGCTGGAAATTGTAACTTACCATTTGATAGTACTGCACCAAGTTATGTACATATTCATAATTATCTTGAGCAATAGCTTTCCTGCATATTGAAGGTTTGGCATTTTCCTGAAAAAACAAACAAAATAGTTCTATGTTTAGAAGTTGAAGTACTAAGTAAGGGTAAGAGAAATGGATGAAAAACTTGTCTATTACAATTAGAAGCAACATTTTGGTGTAGGTTCTAACACTATTATCATGCAAGTGATGTACAATTCTCTTGTCAACCTCACTCTGTACATCACTTGCTTGATAACGGTGTTAGAACCTACACCAAAACATTGCTCCTTATTGTAATAAAGAAGTTGTTCATCCACATATCTTATCCTTTCTTAATGAACATATTATCTCCTCAAGTGTCTAAAGCATGATAATCATTGAATTCTCGTGTTATTTGACAAGATTAACAAGATATGCTCCATGGTCCACAGAAAACCTGTTTTTGTGACTATGCTGTTCTTGGACTGTGATCATGATGATAACTGCAAAGTGGTACATTGTACAGTTTTCATCACATTATTCAAATCTTGACATTTCACTGTCAAGTGTATATCTGACTATGCTTACTGAAAATATAATTGGTTATTACCAATATGGAGAGCAATTCCTGGAGGTACTCCTTGATGATTGACTCATCCTCGTGGAGAGCCCAGCTTCGTTGTTGTGAGTCGTCCTTACATGACGTCAGTTCTGAAAATATCACCTCCAGTCTGGATGCATCCCGGCTGCCCACCTCCTGAATCTGGTCTGCCTGCAGAGGGAGACTGACATCAGCCCTACACATCCCAGCAGCAACAGCAGCATACACTCACACACATCACAGATTCACTTCGACTACCAGAGGGAGACTGACATCAGCCCTACACATACCAGCAGCATACACTCACACACATCACAGATTCACTTCGACTACCAGAGGGAGACTGACATCAGCCCTACACATACCAGCAGCAACAGCAGCATACACACACACACATCACAGATTCACTTCGACTACCAGAGGGAGACTGACATCAGCCCTACACATCCCAGCAGCAACAGCAGCATACACTCACACACATCACAGATTCACTTCGACTACCAGAGGGAGACTGACATCAGCCCTACACATCACAGCAGCATACACTCACACACATCACAGATTCACTTCGACTACCAGAGGGAGACTGACATCAGCCCTACACATCACAGCAGCAACAGCAACATACACAATATGTTTCATCTCATCGACATACAGGACCATTCAGCTGATACAATCATGCACACCTGTTGTTGACTATCATAACTTAAGTTTGCAACAGATCACGACACTGTAGCTCACCTGAGTATGAAGTCAACAGTCTAGTAAAATGTCAAGTTAAGAAAAGCTGCTGTCACCACTGATATTCAAATTTTCAAACATATGTGTTGAAAGCCTACAGTAAACTAAACACATACCAAATTTGATTACATTTTGCACAGAAATGGTCAAGTAATGGTCTTAAATATCTATTTCAATATGGCTGCCATGGTGGCCATATTGACAAAGTTGAAATTTCTTATAACCATCACTCAAGCCTTTTCTTTCAAATCTAATGAAATTTGGTATAAGTGTATTTAGAAGTAGAGTTCAACACATTTGTTCCCGGTGTGATATCTTAGCAAAGGTCAAATCAAGCTTAAAATAATAAATTTCACAAAAAACAACACATATGTTGTGAAACCTACTGATTAAATCATTTGGTGACATGTCAACAAAAATCACAATTGACAATTTATTGTCTAACAAATACAAATTGTTTCCTGAATGTGCCAGCATTTTTGTATTTGAAGTCCTACGGGCCCTTGACTTGAAATTCGTGTCTCTTACGAGTGGAGGAAAGTTCTATATGATGACCAGATCATTAACAATCATAAGATGAACAAAATGAGTTAAGCATGTTAAGAAAGCTTTCAATTTATCGGACATTGTTACATCTCAAACTGCTTATTATTTCTATGTTTTCTTAAGTTAGTTACAATTAACTTAACCTAAACATGATGAAGAAGTTTACCTCTTTACTGAGTGTTGAAAATACTTTATCCATTGTGGCAGCCAGCTTGGGAACCTTGAAGCCAATGTAACCCAACACTGTTTCAACGGCAACTCTGGACTTGTCGTAACTCAAACCTGTGTTAGTCCGAACTTGTTCCAAAAGTTCAGATCCTAGGTTATTTGGAACGCACAACGCTTTGACGTCAATTTCAGCACTAAATTCTGGAGATCTGAGGTTCTTGACAGGAGATGTGGCGATGTCTACCTTGACAGGGGATGTTCCCATGGCAATAGTGCCATTAGAGCTGGTCTCTTCCTGACCAGAAACAACTCCATCCACTGCTTCTGGTTCCTGGAAAAATACACTGAAATCACATCTATCAACCAATAAAGTGAATGAGTTGGGTTTTGCACTGCTTTGGGCAATATTCCAGCAATATGACAGTGAGGAACACCAGAAATGGGTTTCACACATTGTATCCATGTGGGGAATCGAACCTGCGAGTTCAGCATGACAAGCAACCACTTTACCACTAGGCTACCCCACCACCTCTGAACCAATCTAGAGAAATTACCCAAAATGTGTAGTATTGTGTTGCCACAGAGGCAGTCAATGAACAATAACGTGGCAAGAAGTAGCCCTGAAATGTAGCGACAAGCAAAAACGTTGTTTCTTGTTCTTAACATTTTGTTAACTTCATATTTGAGATACTATCAAGTTTTTGAATGGCAAAAAAGGAAGCAAAGTCCTGTCCACCAACAACAACAGCTGTCAAAGGAAACTACAAGATGCCATTAATAGGACATACCAGCCAGCCATAAACCGTGACCAGGGAGCATATGTTGGCTTACCATGTTTTTTTTCCACCTGTTATCTTATTACCTTTGTTGTTTTTCACATGTACAAATATATGCTCTCTGTATGCTAGCTTCATACACCTGATGAAGGAGTAAGCATATACTCCGAAACGTGTTCCTCATAATGAAGAGCTGACATCCATTCTCTCTCTCTCTCATTGAGATAACTAGAAGCTACTGTACTATATCAATATGCCATAACATATACATAAATCATTAATAGACATGGCAGACAAATGTGTACTCACCAATAAGACAGAGTTTTCTCTTGGGGGAGCTGGTGCAGAGTTTCGCTTGCTGGATGCCGGCTTGTCATTTTTTTCTTGGGCTGTGGCTGAAATTATTCCAGTACATAATACTAAATCTTTCCGAGTGATTTCTACTACAGGGTAATGGTATACAATGTGAGAAAGTATTGGGTTTCTTGATGTATTTTATTTCTTACAAGACCCGCTAGAATTTCCACACACAAAATAAAATATATGGAGGGAGGGGGTCCCCTGCCTACAGCCTCTTTCTATAGAAACCATGGAGATAAAGATCCATTTACAGCTAAACAGGACTTTATATCTTTATACAAAACATTAAACATCCACTGAAAAGAGTCATTACCAAACTTGAAAAATGAATCTTACGCAGTCCATTCATGTGCTTTACATCTGTTTCATTTTCAATGTGTCTACACATTTAGATAAACATACGTCATGAAATGTTTAACTTTCACTGAGAAAATATCCAAAAACGTGAAAAAACGTGTGCATATTTATCTCTCACATCCGTTCATCAAAGCCCTATGAAGAGCTAGCAATTTACGGTCAGTTTGATGTGTAGGGTTATATATTCATGCACCTCACTGTCGCAGTTGTAGCTGTATATCTATATAATTATGCAGAGCAATATGTAAAGTGCACTGAAAGGCTTGCATTTGGCCCATCTGCTCTTACTTCAGAATAAGTATGTTTTTTCACAAGCAAGAGGAAAGTCAGGTCACACAGTAAGCCTACATCCGTGGTGTGGTCACTGGAGCAGAAACAGAAAAAGGCGAGCTACAGAACGGTCAATGTACTGGCCCTTTAGGTTGAATATATTGACTGTCAGTGATTACAATGGAAACTTTTCCCAGCTACACCAGAAGCTTACTTCCTGCAACATCAATGCTACTTTCCCGTGGTGGGGGCGGGGCCTTCCGCCTAGCTGATGAAGCCCGGGCATCTGGGGTAGAAGAAGACTTCTTCACTCTGGATTGCCTGTTGCCATCAGACACCACACTCCGATGATGTATCAGCTTCCTGGAGACCAAGGAAATATCATCAGATACTTGTTCAGAGTATCACAATGAAACAGTACATGCAGACCATTCAGCATTATAAGGATGTTGTACCAGTAAGTGATTTTGGTTGTACATGTTTAATACTGAACTGTTTGATTGGCATTTTTGAAAGTGGGTAAGCAACAGTAAAAACAAGATATTTTATGGATGACAACTTCTTTATTCTATCATGATGCTTTTTACTGTCACAATCAACCATTCACTTCATTCTCTTGTTCATGTTGTTAATATATCAATCAACCATTATCCTTTGTTGATGTTTATCCCTTTCATGAATATTGTTTTTGTTTGTTTGTTTGTTGTTCAACGCCACACTCAGCAATATTCTAGCTATATGACGACAGTCTGTAAATAATCGAGTCTGGACCTGACAATCCAGTAATTGACATCATGAGCATCGATCTACACAATTTGGATACGATGACATGCATCAACCAAGTCAGCGACCCTGACCACCCGATCCTGTTAGTTGCCTCTTATGACAAGCATAGTCGCCATTTGCAGCAAGCATGGGTTGCTGAAGACCTATTCTGACACCAATATTGGTTCTGTTAATCCTTATTATATGTATATAACCATGATAACCCTGTACTGTGCTGTGCTGTCTCACTTCACTCTTGCTTGACAATGGTATAAGGATCTATACCGAAACAACGCATCATAATCATGATAATAGAATAAAGGAGTTGCCATCCATAAAGTATCACTTTACTGATGTTTAACATGTTTAATACTGCTTTGAATAGTATTTCAGTTATTATGGCATGTCTGCTTAATGTGGGAGGAAAGTCCAAGACATATACCACTTTGATAAAAAAATGTGAGCATGGGGTTGGTCCTGACAAACTAAGATCCACAATCAGAGCGAATCTAAGATTTGAATCCGTGATCATAGGATTCTTGCATGCCTGAGGGACACTGATCTGCACACAATGTAACTCCTTATAACACAATATGGCATTTCTTCTTAATCATCACTGTCTTGTTATTTCATTTAACCTGCATGTGTCGTACACAAGAATTGTCTGGTCAAGACTCGATTATTTACAGACCGCTGTCATATTGCTGAGTGAAGCGTTAACGAACAAAAAAAAAAAGAGTCATATCTATGTTAATGTTAACAATGAGATAATGAAAATGAATTTCACATGGCTGGCATAGTTTTTCTCAGCAATATTTCAGCTATATGACGGCAGTCTGTAAAAAATAGTCTGGACCAGACAATCCAATGATTGATATCATGAGCATCAATCCATGCAAATGGGATATGATGACTTTTATCAACCAAATCAGCATTAGTTTCCTGTTACATCAAGCATAGACGCTTTTTACAACAAGCATGGGTTGCTGAAGTCATGTTTTAACCTGGATCTTCACGGCTGGCATGGTAGATATAATTAACAACAGATCAAAATTAAAACAAATTTTCTCGTTAGGAAATCAGTTAACCTGAGCACTTCTCTTTCCTTGTGCGAGTAACTTCCACCATTGCTTGCAGCTTGAAGATGAATTGCTTCAATTGATCCATCGATGAATTTCATAATTTGAGAGACTGGTGCCTGCAAATTTGACAAAAGAATTCTTGGTGTGTGAGCATGAACTGATGCTGTTGAGTAAAAGGGAGTTTAGCATGTTTGGTAAAGTAACTAGCCCGTACTAGGAAACACCTGCACATAATCACTGTCTGAATCATAGTTCTTGATGAAGAAATGTCTCGCTGTCAAATTCAAAATGTTCAGGACTTATAAAGATATTTGTCTTTTACCACCAAAACTGTGTACAGAACCATGAAATAAAACAAATAGAGTCAATAACCAACATAATCTGAAAAAAGGTTGAAGTTGGAAAATAACTTTTAATAAGAATTGGTTACAACAGATGAAAACGAACCTTGTAGACTTTTAACATCAATATTTCTTAAGTATGTATTCAGTGCATCTTTCCCATCATCAGTGCACCTCATGGGATTCTGGGGCAGTATACCATGCTTGTCTGACAGGCTGACAAACTAATTGTGTGTCATCTCAACCTGACGGTTAGGTTCTTGGGTTACAATTGTGATATTTTACATCTCCATCTTTACCATGTTTGCCTTTAACAGGGTTTCCAATGTGTGCTGGTTGTCAATGGTAGGAATGAAAACTAGCTATCAAAATTTGCCTGGTAATGATGAAATATATACTACTCCTAAGAAATGATAATCATCACTGATTCTGTACATGATGAATACTTGGTAACTTATTATCGTGAGATGTAAATATTTAACTTAATGTTAAGAATGTGACTTACTGTGAATATATCATTTTTATCATGATTATCATGCTTACTGTACTCTTTGTATAATAAAGAATACAGCTTACATATGAATACTCTTTCTTATCAATGATATCCTCATGCTGTCAGGAAATATGCATGTCTTGAATGATAAACTATTCAGTATCATGTACATGATCATGATGTAATGGAAACAAAATACATTCCTAAATAGTAGAATTTCTCCATCTACTACTATGTGAACTATCCAGGATACTCTATCTCTAGTTATACTTCAAAGACTTTACCAGGTGCAGCTTACATCACTAACAGCTCAAGCTGCTGGTTGTGGCTCTTGTTTAATTCATGATTCTTGAATGCCTTTTTTGATCCTTAGGGTTAGTTGTGCTAGGGTCAGGTAAGTTACACTTAGCCCTTGTATCCCCTTCCCAATCCAGCACCCCTTTACAATCATTAGGGTTAGGTACCCATTTCCAAAAACAAACACCCCCTCACGATCCTTAGGGTTGGGCACCACTTGCCAATCAAACTTGACCATGTTTACCATCCTTATGGTTCTGGACCCCTTTACAATTATTAGGGTTACTAGAACTTGTGAGTTAGGTTATGGCTTAGCTATCTCTTATAAGAAATTAATCCACTGTAATCTGAGGAAAATCAAAAAAAAATTTTTTATCAAGTTTTGAGTTTCATGGAGAAAATGGCTACTGCATCTGCTAATAAAGGTAAACAATTGGCGCTGATCACTTGGTAAACAAACACTAATGGTTTGTGACACCGCCTGTGTCCTGTGGTAAAGTGTGGCTTATAACATTAACTTATTAGTTATGCTTAGCTTGGAGCTTGCAATGTTAATTGTTATATACTCGGACCCCGTGGTACCGCGGCAATCATGGCATCGCAACATTTGTGATTTCAGGTAGTTCACTCCTCTTAGCGGCTGTCTATTAATGCAAATCAGTATCCAGGAAAATGCTCACTTCGTAAACAATTTCAATTTCCTCGGAATGTTCTGTCTGCTGTAAGTAAGGAGTTATTAATGCGTTGATACTTACTTCTGGCATATTTTTAATATTGCCTTACCCCCATCTATCAATGGCTAATGATATAACCCACAGTTCCCCAAGTAAACTTTCTCTATCGACCTGAACTAGATCATCTGCATATTCCTGGCGACTAATAAGGTAACGGAAGTTACTTAGTCCGCACATTTTTTCCCGCTCTGGGCCGAGAATCTTTTGGGTGCCAAACTTAGAAATACGTTCTTCACTAGTAGCCAAAAGATAAATACATACTTTGGGCGTACTAAGAGTGCTTTTTATATATTTATTGTTGACTTTCAGAATTTTTCCATTTTGTGACCAATATTTCAAATGTTTTTGTCATCCATTTTTTTTTAAAAAACAATGTAAGAATATCATTTCTTATATTTTGTTGTTGATATTAAAAATATTCTTTTCTTACTTTTCGGTAAATATGCATTGAATACCTATTACCATGATTACTGATAACACATTTAGAATTATACTTGTGCTGTCTTTGCACTTGTCTGGACAAATCTCTGATGTCTGGCATGATCATACCAAGTGGTTGGTAGAATTATGTCCTCTTTTCGTCCAGTTCAGACCTCCATACACAACTTTTCTCTGTACCGCGATACGATGGAGTTCTCTCCCTTTATCAAACTGAGCGCGAGGCCCGGCTTTTACTCGGAGCTACTAATGTAAATAATGAACTTTTGTCAATAAAATATGCATTGTAAGATAAAATAAAATAACCTGGTATAGAGAACACGAATAATCATAAAGGTTAGTGAGTGCATTTTGTTTCGTTTAGCGTACATGACAAGTGCCGCGATACCCTGAGGTTGCAGTTTACATACTCCACACACAACATTAATCCGATCCTCCACACAGCGGAAATTGAAATATAAAAAAAGTGACCTGATAAAGTGCACTACTCCCGGGACTTCTACATCTGAAAAACATAAACTGACCTAAAAATCTTGTAAACTTTGCAGGTATCTGGGGTTCATCATGCATCATCATTATGCTCATCTGATCTTGTAAGATCAAATATGTACATGTGAAATATTCAAACCACAGCACAATCGAATTCAAATTACAGCGACAATCATGCGTAATAACCATAATAAGTGTTTCAACTGTTTTCTTACATCAATTTTGATGACATAATTATTGGGGATGTAGCCAAGCTGTCCGATTCCATTTTGAGCGTACAACCAGTCGCTTCTGGATCCATCGAGAACTGTAAACTTGTCGCCTCCCAAAAACGACAAATATTGTGGCAACTTGCTCTTGTAATCGTACAAAGCTCGATACATTTGTAGCTATTTAGCAAACAGACTAACACTCTGAGAAAATACTTAATTATAACGATTACTAAACGTCAAGGGCGGGTTTTCGTCTCAAGAGAGCGACATTTTGAAATCATAGGTCCGCAGTAAAAAATTGGGTTTATTCGTGTGGATAATTCATATATTCGTAAAATACAAATATAATTAAAAAATAACAATGTATGTTTAACATCATCTTTAGTTCCCTAATATTACAAAAATGTAGTTTCAGTGAAATATAAGAATGTTTGACGATTTATTAATTTCGAGTTTTTCTTATTTACTCCGAAACTTGTATGGCGGAAAACATGAATGTTTGGAAGTGTGTTGACAGCTCGCAAGAATACATTTAACATGACACGCCTCGCCAAAGTCAAGCAGAAACAGGCGTAAGCGGAGTAAGTAAATTACCATGTGGATCATGAGTGTCATGTTGTCGATTGCCGAGAGAAGCTTTTGTGACTCCAATAATAATGATAAACCGTGAAATGTCATTTACAGTTACTCAAACTAACAGTAACACAACTTACAGTTAAGCCAACAACTTACACAACATGTTAAAACTTAGGACAGTCTGTGAGTATTCACACAGAGCTAAAGCCTGCATATTTTCTCTCAGTAATGTAGGATTTGCTTCCAGTGTTATTTCAACAGGGTTAACTTTGTACATGTTGTACCAAACTGATAAACATGCGAATGGTAATGTGTGACTTGATTTACTTCATTAACAGGACGTCGATTGTTCTGAAGCTTTGTTTGTAAATAGCCGATAACCCCTGAGCATACTGAGGATATTTCTGAGCCAGTGACCACATTGCGGGTGTAGGCTTATCACATGACAGGACTTTTCTCTTGTTTGAAAAACAAACATACTTTTTCTGAAAAAAACCCCAGTTGTTCCTAATTCTAGCCTTTCGGTGTGCTTTACATATTGTTTTGCATAATTATATAGATATACTACAACAACTGCGACAGTGAGGTGCATGACAATACAGCTTTACATATCAAAGCAACATTATCGCAAGCTCTTCATAGAGCTTCGATGACAGCACATGGAGGATAAATATGCAAATGAAAATAGTTTTTGATGTTTTAGGATATGTTTTCAATGAAAGTTATGTTTATCTAAATGTGTAAACTCGTCCAAAATGAAACACATGAATGGACTGTGTAAGATTTGACGATGTGACAGAGGAACTTGACTGGCCGTACTCTGGGTAGGAAAGTGATTGGTTTCATACAACTGAGGAATATTTTTATTGTATTCTGGGCTTTGATAAACACTGGTTTATATCAGAGCTTTTATTAGAATATGTGCACACGTTCTTGTTATGATTCACAGCAATACATCATTGTTCTATATGACATTGGCAGCAGAGTGGCCTATGCTTCCACTTTGATAAATTTATTGGACCAGGGTGCAATCTGGTTTTATCTGATGCAACTGGGATTTCATGTAAACATGCACCTGGTGCAAGTTGAATCAAGTTCATTAAATCGAACCCTGATCAAGTACTGGAGACCGAGTCTTCTGATTTCTTTTAGTGTTAGGGCTAGGCTGATACACCAGCAGTGCGATCCGATACGTATAATGATACCTTGCTCACAATCCGATACGTATCACAATACTTGCATGTACTTTTATCTGTGATGGGTAAGCCATCTTTTTCATGGACAGGATGGCCAAAGACTTGGCGCACTGCCATTTTATAGTTGGCAGTGCCAAGTATGGCGCATTGGAGGAAAATATTTATGTTTTCACTACAATGTCATTAAATTCAGATCTAAGTTCTCGCTGCCGCTAAACAAAGATCTGAGGACATCCCATTACGGGTCACGTCAGAATGACCTTTCGCGAACTTTGACCGACCACTAAAATGACAAACATCAGCCAATTAGAAAGCAGCCATCTCAAGCTTTACGGTACTCGTTTCAACCTGGCGACTTCAATTTCAGACTACGCTTGAAAAATATGTTGGCACAGTTCTCGATTAAAATTTTGAAAATTGAACAAACGAACATTCCGGAATGTCTAATATATGGTTGAGATTGTATGACAGTACTTCCCATGTACTGTGCAACGCCTCCTCCGTTCAAATGTTTGACCCACGGAAGCGAGAAATAGACGATAATTTTGACAGTATCAGTCGTATGGGCCATAACTGTCATTTGGAATACCCTGTGTTAACGTTTTCGAGGTTGCATGATGAGAAAACACATTCCGACTGTCACTTTCATGATCTGGTAAGCAACGCTTTGATTGGTTGTATGAAAGGTCGTTCTCATGTGACCCGTAATGGGATGTCCTCAGATCTTTGTTTTGCGATAGCGAGAACTAAAATCTTATTTTAATGAGATTGTTTTTCTCTACTAATTTGTGTTTGGTGTAACAGTTATTAAAGCAAACATTTTACGTAAGAATCTATATATATTTAACATGTTTAATTTTGCGTAGTGTGTGACTGTGATTGATATAAATGAGAAGTAAAAAGTCATGATCCAACAATGCATCTGTGTATCGTCCCACTACTAGTTTCAGTATCATTTTCCTCATTCTAGAAGTTGCCAGTATGGAAGGTGGTGTGTTCAGTGACAGTGTTGACGTGCTGCTGACACAGCTGTGCAAACATCACCTCCAGGACACTCAGAAGCGTGCTTACATCGTTCAGCCTCAAACGTCTCGGGATGTGCAGTGTAAACGACTCAAAAGAAAGGCCTACAACACATTATTTGAATTTCTTAAAGGACGAGGAAGGTTTGTATTTGTTGAAATTTGATTTATATCTTTTCTGCCACTAATCAGTCTGTTATTCCTAACCCGTCTAAAAACATTTATCATACCGACATGTCAGAATGATGAGATTTGATTGGTTCACATGATTTTCATAAAATACGATGAATCCCGCCTTGGGACATAAATTCTTCAGCGGGAGAATAAATCCCTTATACCCAACCATGTTAAAACAGGCTGCACATTGATTGCTCAGCGGGAGAATAAATCCCTTATACCCTGCCTCGACAATGCTCGATGCAACCGACCGCACGCTTTTTCTTAGTCAGTAAAAGTCGCATGGTCTAGCACAAGTTACCTCAGCTCAATTGAATATGTTGAACAGCTGTTTTCAATCAATTTTGAATTTGTTTTAATTCTTATACAATGTCATATTAAAACATGTCAGTAAGATAAATTTGTTGTAGGAGGATCACTTGGGGTACATGGGCTTGTGGTATAAAACCCAACGTGGGATGCATAAAACCCCATGTACATGATGTACCCCGAGTGATCCTGCTACAACTTATGATATCTGTGTGTGATAAATATTATAGGTAATTTTAACAATCATGTTTAAGAACTGTCCACATTTTACTGTTGTATTATGTGTATCTTTGTTTATGTAAGATTAAGTGGAGATGTCTTATCTTAAGGAGTTGGTATACTTCTATTCTTGTGTATAGTGCGCACCTTTTGAAAAGAATTACAGCTGTGTAGTGGGGGATTGGCATAATACATACAGACAATGACTTTCAATTATTTTTTCCAATCACTGGATTGTCTAGTCCAGACACCATTATTTACAGACTGCCGAATTTCCTCTGGAATATTGCTGAGTGCAACGTGATACAAAAAAAAAAAATTCAGCTTGGATGAATGATATAATTCATGCATTAAACATGCTAAATCCTTGGATTAAGGAGGAGGGAGTTCAGTTAACATGTAAATCGGAGAAGGCATTGGATTTATTGCCAAGTGACCACTATCTCATCACCCTTTAGTACATGTAGTGCAGGGATGCTACCCTGTTCAAAGTACCCTTGGCAGGCAAATTGGGAAAAACATTGTAATATTTTTTAGAATTGGATCTTTTTACTGTTCTTATTTTTGCAAATTCTGAAGTACTGGTAAATTTGCACACAGTTATCACTTCACTACATGCCATATTTTCTTGTGTAGAGTGTGCACTTCAGTATAATCATCATATGCACCTACCAATTTTGGGTACAAGTTTGAGAAAAAAAATAATTATATTGTTTATTGGGTGCACTCAAAAACTACATTGCATTGTTTCAGGTGAACTAACACGAGATAACAAAATTGGCCAATGAAAATGTGAAATTTGAGATAAAACATCACAAGACATGATGATTTACAAGTTTGGTTGTTTTTCCATTTTATGCTCGGCATTGTTTTATGTGTAGAGATTAAGATTACTGAGGGTAATTGTCTGGTAAAATAAACTGGAAATAACAATCAGCTGTACACACATTTTCTCCCAGATCTACCGGTGATGAAATACAAAAATGTCCAATATTATAGCTATAGTAAGTTTTTGTGCAGTGATTGGAAGAAATTGTATTTGTAACTATACTTGAACAAGGATAATCTGATCGTGGTTCTGAATTGGTGCAGTACGCTAACCAGTTCACACCTGATTTTGCCGAATCAAATGTAGACAATATTAAATGAAATGTGAATAAAGTTGATTACAAACACAAGTCAAGATGTGATAATAAGGACAGTTTTCTGTATTTTTCAGATATTCTTGCATATCCCCATCTGATCCTGTGAAAAAAGAAATAGATGGCATTTTGATCTATGCTTACCACTTACGATGTAATCGATTTTTCGATGAAGCCAATCGTCTGGAAGCTCTCCTGGACACTTTGTTATCAAAAGATGGTAGGTGTATAATTGTCTAAGCTTAGTGTTTGATTTGGTGAAATTTAACAACCTCCTTCATACATGATATGTCAGGTATTGCAGTCAGCGCATCTGCTTTGAAGCTTCATAATTAGACCGTGCCATTTGGCATCGTTTTCAGTAGGTTTAGTGTTAGTTTGTGGACTATTGTTAGCTGAATTCATTGACAGAAAGACATTTAACAAGTCTTGGGCTAAGGTAGCAGAATGAAATGCACACTGCTTACTTCTGATATAACTATTCTTATTATTGACATCAGATTTAGTTGTAATCATGGTAATCCAAACCAGGTGCCTATCTGCCTCCCTTAGGTTACATGCATTGCGTCATACTTGAAATAGAAGCGGTGATGACATGCCAAGTTCTATAATGAGCACTACCAGCTGTTTTTAACATTGAAAAACCATAAAGCATGCATTTGTAGATAAAGAAACATGCTATTTTGTCTTTTTGTAAACTCTGTAAAGAGAGGGACATTTTGAGATGCCCTCCTGTTAAGTAAGCAATGTTTTTTTCAACTTTGGTTCTGGAGAAGTGTTTTTGATTACAGGTGATAAGAGTGATGTGATGTCAGTGTTGCTGTTGCTGGTGTTGCTGTCAGAAAGGAGGAATCCCACCAGTAGTGAAGTCATTGGACATGCATCACAAAAGCTGCCTCTGGTGACATCTAAAAGGGTAATGACCCGTTGTCAATAGTCAGCTGATTGTGATGGGTCCTTATCAGTCTGACTGTGATAAGCAATATGAGGATACTTATGAACTGGGGTGGGGATTGTTGTCCATACTATCAGCCACTGGTTTCCCTGGCTAAGACTTTGTTATCTTCAGTCAGCCATGATCATTATGTGTTTGTCCCGATCACATCTCTAAAACTAATAGGTATTCTTTCATGAAACTTTGCACATATAAAGACCAGGTTGTTAACTGGTGCCTTTTGCTTTTTAGGGAGTGTTAGAATTTTAATTTTTCCGGTTCCATGGCAGCAATTTGACTTTGACTCTGGTCAGACCCCAAGATTGTCTGTTAAGCTTTTCACCAGTGAAGGTAACCAAAGTAACAGATGGGAAATGTTTAGCGTAAACATTTTTATCTATATTTCTATTAAGCTGCACTTTATGTTTCATAAGTTGGTGAAAGGTGAGCTTCAGCAACTATTGACACACTACTGTTTGTAATGCAACAGATTATAGCATGAGCCATGTATCAATTGTGTGACATCCACTTATTCATATCTTTGCAAAAAGTGACGTGACCTAAAAAACAAATTTCCGAGTCCCATTTCCATGGTATTGTTTGACAGCTCAATAACTAGTCTTGTATACAGAAAGACTGCTTAGATAGGAATACCCTCGTCAAGTTCACCGTAGGACTTGCTCTAACAATCAGATGATTTGTTCCTTCGTCTCTATGGGGGCCCGGGGGGATGTGTCACTTTCTGATGACACTTCTATATTTTTTTTAATTTGCTGAAAAATCAATCCCTGACTTTCTGCATTTGTTGTGTGTTGTCCAGACCCAGCACATGGTGTTACCTGAAGGACCTCCTGTGTACGGGGACAGCCAGGTTGTCTGTCCCGACTCCTTCTACATGCATTACCCACGGTAAGACAGCTCACACCCACGCCTCATCATCATGTCTCAAACCCACGCCTCATCATCATGTCTCACACCAACACCTCATCATCGTCTCTCACATACACGCCCCATCATCATGTCTCAAACCCACGGCTAATCATCGTGTCTCACACCCACACCTCATCATCATGTCTCACACCCACGCCTCATCATCATGTCTCACACCCACGCCTCATCATCATGTCTCACACCCACGCCTCATCATCATGTCTCACACCCACGCCTCATCATCATGTCTCACACCCACACCTCATCATCGTGTCTCACACCCACACCTCATCATCGTGTCTCACACCCACACCTCATCATCGTGTCTCATACCCACGCCTCATCATCATGTCTCACACCCACTCCTCATCATCATGTCTCACACCCACGCCTCATCATCGTGTCTCACACCCACACCTCATCATCGTGTCTCATACCCACGCCTCATCATTATGTCTCACACCCACTCCTCATCATCATGTCTCACACCCACACCTCATCATCGTGTCTCATACCCACGCCTCATCATCATGTCTCACACCCACGCCTCATCATCGTGTCTCACACCCACACCTCATCATCGTGTCTCATACCCACGCCTCATCATCATGTCTCACACCCACTCCTCATCATCATGTCTCACACCCACACCTCATCATCGTGTCTCACACCCACGCCTCATCATCGTGTATCACACCCACGCCTCATCATCGTGTCTCACACCCACTCCTCATCATCATGTCTCACACCCACACCTCATCATCATGTCTCACACCCACACCTCATCATCGTGTCTCATACCCACACCTCATCATCATGTCTCACACCCACTCCTCATCATCATGTCTCACACCCACACCTCATCATCATGTCTCACACCCACACCTCATCATCATGTCTCACACCCACGCCTCATCATCATGTCTCACACCCACTCCTCATCATCATGTCTCACACCCACACCTCATTATCGTGTCTCACACCCACACCTCATCATCGTGTCTAACATCCACGCCCAATCATCGTGTCTCACACCGACGCCTCATCATCGTGTCTCACACCCACGCCTCATCATCATGTCTCAAACCCACGCCTCATCATCGTGTCTCACACCCACGCCTCATCATCGTGTCGCACACCCACTCCTCATCATCATGTCTCACACCCACGCCTCATCATCATGTCTCACACCCACGCCTCATCATCATGTCTCATACCCACGCCTCATCATCATGTCTCACACCCACACCTCATCATCATGTCTCATACCCACGCCTCATCATCATGTCTCACACCCACTCCTCATCATCATGTCTCACACCCACACCTCATTATCGTGTCTCACACCCACGCCTCATCATCATGTCTCACACCCACACCTCATCATCATGTCTCATACCCACACCTCATCATCATGTCTCACACCCACTCCTCATCATCATGTCTCACACCCACACCTCATTATCGTGTCTCACACCCACACCTCATCATCGTGTCTCACACCCACACCTCATCATCATGTCTCATACCCACGCCTCATCATCATGTCTCACACCCACACCTCATTATCGTGTCTCACATTAAGAAAATGAATCCTTATATTTTTTTATAACTCAAATTGTCCTCACCATTTGAATTCTGGTTCAGAATATGTCCTGCTTGTTGTAAGAGGTGATGGAAATAGTGATTGGGTGAGCACAATGGGGCTGAATGTGGACATGGAGGTGGTCACCTCTCATCTGTTTCTCACACAATCAACCACGCTTTGTCTGGTCCCCATTGCACAAAGTGATCTTAGCGTTACGGTTATCGTAAGCCTGTGTTAAAGTATGGGAGTTAGTTATTTTTGCGAAGATAGCTTTTTGCAATGGGGTCCTGGACTTACAGAGGTCTCGCTTTCCCAAACTCACCTCCTTATTACAGTTTGGGTTTTAACAATTGCAGTATTTTTCAGGGAGCTGTTTGAGGCAGCACACCAGCAGACAGATATCCGGACAAAGATGGACATCAAACGTCCAAATGTGAGTCAGTTTCTAGAGCATGTGCGATATGATTCCAGTTTGTATTGTCATATCAGTCTGAGACTGGTCTAGCAGAGAGAACCATTATTTTCAAAAGTGCAGCAGCATGTATATATGCAGGAATATTCCTATATTTTTAGGAAACTGGTAAATAGTGTAACAAATGTAAGCTTAAGGTTTTGTAGATCTTTTACTCTGATGCGTGGGTCCTTGAGCCAATCAGATATCAGCTTTCTAAAACAGTTTTATTTCTTTGTTACCACCCAGATTCAGAAATTTGAAATCTTAAAAAAACAGCTCATATATTAAACAAAAATTCTTTAGAACATATGTTGATGGTACTCCTGTTTTAGGGTAGATGCCATGGTCCTTAGAAACAACTGGGTCTATGCGATATCCACAATTGACCAAGATGAATTGAGTGGTCAGTCTCAGTGACTTGGCTGATTGTGTGTCATCATGAACTGATGGCATGGAGCATTGCCCGGTTTGCCTGGACCAGATGTAGCTAAAATATTTCTATTCACTCACACATTTCTAAAAACAAAGCAAATGAATATTGTACTTTTCAATCCGATGTCACCACATGGAGAAAATGTAATAATTTCAACACCCTCTTTCAGCTTTTTGAGCTGACCCCCGGCACGGAGCTGGCCGGAAATGGATGGTTTAATTACAAGGTAAACTGTTACTGTGTTACAGTGTACTGTGTGGATGTGTATATGAATTCCTGTCTGTAATTTTACCTGCTTTTATAATTTTGCACTTTTGCTCGGGATTACATAATTGTATCCATGGTATCATTTCATGTAAATGACTTGGTGAGGAAATGCTCCACAACCGTTATCAGGGTACCAGGTAGTTCACAGATTCAGAATGTCAACAGTTGTATGTTTGAGCTGATTACTGCCTGTCAGGTGATAAAACTCCTTATCCTGTTTCAGCCACTCCTGAATGATGCCCATGAAAAGGAGTCAAGAATGACCATGTTTGGAGGTCTAGTGCAAGGAAGAATTACCTCCCTTGACGCAAAACTTGAGCTGCCAGAATTGCCAGATGAATTTGATATGAAGTAATCTCGTTTTCTTACTTCTTCTTTTTGAACGTTTTGTCATTAGAAATATTCATACAACCAAAACCTGTGTCTTATAAAGTAAACATATTTTTTACTTATCTTGCATTACTCCTTAATGCATATTACTTGCTTGTTCTTGACAGAGAAAAGAGCTGTGTGAAGGTCTTTGCTTGAAGAAGTTGCTCCAACTAGCTGAGAGACCAACCCATCACGCAGCTCCCACGTGACCACCGGATCCTCACATTACTCTTGTCACTTGATGAGAGAAGACCTGTTTTTTTTGCTGTAACATAAAACTGATTCAAACCCTCACATGTTTGCTGTCTGAGTTAATGTTGTTTTGTCTTTGTGTTGTGCCTACGGTTTGTATTTTGTACATTCTATGTTTGATAAACATGTGCATAACGTTATTAGACACTTACTGGCGTTTTCTCAAGAGGAAAACATAAGGCCAGGTGTCTTGTTGCTCCAAGTAGCCATCTTGAATATTTTGCGTAGCCAGCAGTTTGTGAACTGGTTTGCGTTCTATATTCTTTTGCTTGGTACCCCAAGATTGGCGTATCCTCGCAAGTATTGTTTGTTTTGTTGTATGTTGTCTCACGTTTGTCGTAATATTTGTTTCATAAACCCACACAGTGGGATAAAAAAATTATAGCATACATAATTGGGCGGGGACGCATTGTGATTTTACACTGCTTCGTTAGAGCAGATATCATGCCCTCCTCCCAAAGTGCCGGCGTAATATGTCGGCGTGGGATCCCCAGCCCCTGTGCCTTACTTGTACATCTCAATGCCTCCAGGGTCACTGATGTAAAGACTGTTGACTGCTTTCCCACAGCTTTCAGACAGTACCTCAGTGTGTGTAAAAAACGCAGAACACAGCAGGCCAGGAAACAACGGCGCACGATGTCTGACTACTCTGAGGTACTCTACTACTCGGATGACCACCCCCCGACCTCAACTGCTACCTTGATGACGGACCCCATGGTTGTAGTCTCTACCCAGAGCACTTTGACAACCACGACAGCGTCTATCTTTACAGCGGTGACCACAGTGACGCCCGGCATGGTGCTCACGTACCAGACGGCGCCTATACTATCCTCCGGACAGACGCATGGTCTCCCACAGTGGTCCCGCCTGCGGCACAGACGCTCGGTCTCCCACAGGCACCCCCGCCTACGGCACAGACGCTCGGTCTCCCACAGGCGCCCCCGCCTACAGCACAGACGCCCATTATAGACGCTCCCCCGTCCAGTACTTTCAGTACTTACAGGCCAGACAGGCCTTGCGCCTCTCCCAAGTGCGCCTCTACAGGCGCACACCCGGGACAACCATGCAGACAGACGATTAGCCATTCCACGATGTCTTTGTGGCTACCTGCTCTCATTCTACAGGCCTATGAAATCGTCAGCTCCAAGGGCCAACTACCTACGGAGACCAGAGCGGTCGCTGGACACTTGATTGACGTCCAAACAACGGCGCTCCAACACGGACACTTGATTTGCGTCCATACAACAGTGCTTCAACACTTCCCAAGGTTGCTGGAAGCGCCTAACCTCGTGGTGACGGTTCTGTGGAAATCTCCCGCCAATTCTCCTCGTCTATCAACGTTGGTTGAACTTTTCCTCGGAGAAAGCGAACAGACTCTCAAAGATGTCCCTACCCACAGCGTCTGGTAGATATTATCTGCAACCCCATGACCGATTCGGTATTCTACAGAATCGTCATATGCTCCCGGGTACCCAACTTGGTCATCGTTCCCAACACCGGACCAGTCGTCACTCTTATCATTTGGATCAACTAATCAGGTCAACCGACCCTATGGGATCCATGCAGTGTCTTTGTACAGACTGGCTTGCATGATCGCTTATGCGTAACATTGCAACCACTCGACCAGACGCCTGTCAAGGACTCAATCCCGAGTCTCAGCTTCGCCCGAGACGAGACAGCTCTCAAGACCCTGGCTCGGGTGTCACAGCCAGCCTTCGCTGTGGCGTCCCAGCCTGGCTCATACCAGCCGTGATGCAACACCCTCCAGCCCCAGTGGCGCGGCACCACCTCAACCTCTCGGGGTAGAGGAGAAGGCAGGGCATCGGGCACATAACAGTCCCGCCGTTGCCACTCCAACAGAGTAACGCTGACCGAAGGGACCACAAGTGAATCGCCAGACAAGCACGACGGGGACCTCCCACCCCCAGCCGTTCAAGTTGTCAACACCCCAGTAGGTGGGAGACTGACTCACTTCTGGCGCAATTGGGTCCCATAGGTCACCAACGTCATGCGTCATGGGTACTGGCTGACGCTTATAGACCCGCCACTTACGTCGTCACCCATAGTGGATACATATCCCCCAACAACAGCAGCTAATGAGCCGGAACATCACAGCGCTGCTAGACAGGAAGCCATAGAGGTTGTACACGCCCCAGCCACAACACCGGGCTTCTACTCACCTGTCTTCCTGGTTCCCAAGAAGGGCTCGGACTAACACAGGATGATCCACAACCTCGCCACTTTCAACAAACGCTACCTGGCGCGTCCACATTACTTCAGGATGACCACGCTCAGGCTCCTGCGATCACGAATCCAGGCACAGGAGGCGCTCATCAGCCTGGATATGGAGGATGCCTACCTCCATGTCCCTATACATCCCGACGATCAGAAATTCCTCCGCTTCATCTTCATGGGAGTCCATTATCAATGGGCGGTCCTCCCATTTGGAATTTCATCGGCCCCCTGGCTATTCACACGGCTTACCCAGCCGATAGCCTCGTACCTCCATCGCCGGGACATCCAGTTCGAGGCGTCCATAGGCGACTGCCTACTGGACCATCTGGACCCTGTCACTCTACTCCGCCACAGGGACCTCAACCCCGGCTCCTACGCCAGCTGGGGTGGAAGATCAACCACTGACACCCACCAAGCGTCTTCAATTCATCGGGGGCCTCTTCCAGATGGACCTCGATCTCATCTCCGTACCCAGAGACCGTTGGGAGCGCATGCAGGTGCACCTGACTCCAGCTCTCCACCTCCCACGCACTCTGCGTCAATGGCAAGTCCTCTTGGGCCTCCTGACCTCAGCGCAGGACTTGACCTACAGAGGAAAGCTCCAACTGCGCCCAATTCAGATGTTCCTAGCGCCCTACATCAGGCGCCAGGACCCCTCCGTACCCATTGTCCTCCCGAATCATCTCAAGCAGCATCTCCGGTGGTGGACGGTGGAATAGAATGTCTTAGGCGGCGTCTCCTTGACATGGCTTACGACCTCTCTGCGCCTATTCGTTGACGCGTCCCTACAGGGATGGGGCGCGCACCTGGAGGGACAGGTCGCCTCGGGGCTGTGGTCTGCCCAACAGCGCCTATGGCACATCAACAACCTTGAACTGGAAGCGCTTATCTTGGCCATCGCTCACTGGAAGACACGCCCGGCTCTCCATCTCTACGGACAACATCACTGTCGTATGGTGCCTTCACATGCCTTCGGAACCAAGGACTGACTCACTCTACTTTGCTCCTTCAACAGTTCCGATTGTTTCACCTGGTGGATTATTTGGGGATTCAGTTCCAGGTCCACCACATCCCAGGCTGCCAAAACATCCTAGCGGATGTCCTCTCTCGGCCGGGCAAAGTGGCTCCCACAGAGTGGAAACTTCACCCAGATGCCTTCGACCATGCTCTCATAGACATAGACCTATTTGCCACCAGCTAGAACTACCAGATCCACGACCTACATATCTCTGGTGCCGGATCCACTGGCTTGGGCAGTCGACACTTTCAGTGTGCCCTGGGAAGGACTAAAAGCGTATGCTTTTCCGCCACCTGTACTCCTTCCCAAAGTCATCCAGAAGATCAGATCGACACGGAACCTGACTTTGGTCAAGCCCTGGTGGCCAGCGAGGGCTTTGTTCGTCGACCTCAGAGAGCTGTCCGACATCAACCCACTGCCACACCAAGATTGGCCAAATATGCTGATCCACCCTCACAGCAGACAGCCACACCCAGGACCAGACAGGTTATGTCTTCACGTCTGGTCCATTTACAGGGAGCACTGAACGCCAAAGGCTACTCGGCCAGAGCGGCTAGGGCCATCACGATGGCACATCGCCCAACCACCAGGAGCCTCTGTGATCACAAGTGGCAATCCTATGAGAGCTTTTGCAGGGGCACCCAACATCTGCATCGCCTCAATTCCTGGCAGAGTTCACGTCCATCTGCGTCACAAGTGTAAGCTCAAGGGCAGTACCATCATGACCTTGTGGCGCTCAACCCCGTCCTGGCAGTTCCGGATGATAGGCGCATGACATAAATCCCGGAACTAAATCCACTCATTCAGGCTGGAAGACCAAAAGGCGAAGTTCCGTCCCCCAGCTTGGGACTTGAACATCATCCTCACCTCACTGAGAGACGCGCCTTTCGAGCCACTCGAGACATCATCGTTCTACCATCTGACGAAAAAGACAGTCAAAGAATCAGCTCCCAGGCCAGCCCGATAGATCGTTCCTCATCCCCCCTCATTCATCGATTGTGGGCTCGGAAGATGAAGTAGAGCTCCGTCTATGTCTGGTTAGAGCTCTTCGTTGCTACATCTGACGATCCAAGGAACGCCGTAGACAACAAAAACGCCTCTTCATACCGGTATCTGCGACCTCGCAACCCCAACACGATCACCCTCTGGCTACGAGCCATCATTCTCCAGGCCTAGGAGGCAGCAGGATTGGACCCCCCACGCTCCAACAACCCGCATGAGATCCGGGCGGTCGCCTCCACCATGGCGCTACACAGCAACTGCTCTCTACGCACCATCATGGAGGGATGTTTCTGGCGATCCAACATGGCCTTCGCCAGTCACTACCTGCGAGACGTCGCATTGGGGGATGTGCAAGGCACGCACAGCTTTGGTCCGTTAGTAGTGGCCCAGCAGGTCACCACTACTACACCTTATTGACCACGCCTCCAAGTCCAGAGCCGGCCTTTCGACCTCCCCTGGCGTAAGCCCTGGACTAGAAGGTTCATGCCTCATTTGCATACGGCTCAGTGCTCCAGTCTTGACCTAACCGAGCGTTATTGTCAGGCTGCGCAGTACCAGGACACAACGCATACCTGACTCTTCCGTTCCATGTAATGGTCATCCAGGCCGACCATACAGCCGAAGACGGGCTGAGGGAAACAGAGTTTCCCATACATGGAGTGGTCACCTGATGCCGACCACACAGCCGAAGGACGGGCTGAGGGAATTGGAAGTTCCCATACATGGGGTGGTCACCTGAAGCCAACCACACAGCCAATGATTGGCTAGGGAACAGAGTCTGGGATTAAAAGATGAAAGTCCACATCTGAAGGTATGCCCTCCTCCGGTTCTGTCCGATAAAGATGCATTAAGGAGTCATGCAGGATAAGTAAAAAATCTAGTAAAATCCTAGATATTTTTTATATTTGTATACTTATCCTGCATTACTGCATCTAAAGGGACCCACCCATCGCAGATCTACCTCCCCATGATGCCTTCCGATGTTTCGGACTCCAGAGTTATGTGAGGATCCGTGACGTCACTTCTGGTGGTCATGTGGGAGCTGCGTGATGGGTTGGTCTCTCAGCTAGTTGGAGCAACTTTTTCAAGCAAAGACCTTCACGAAGCTCTTTTCTCTGTCAAGAACAAGCAGTAATATGCATTAAGGAGTAATGCAGGATAAGTATACAAATATAAAAAATATCTAGGATTTTACTAGTTTTTTATTATCATCTGGGGATACAACAATGTGCATGATTGCTCATATTGTCAACCACTGGCTTGCCTGGCCCACAATATTAAGATAAGATTATTAACAGGCCACAATTATATAGCTGTAATTTTGCAAACCTGTGGCATCAAATAAGAAAGGGTTTCTTACAAATTTTGAAAATCAGTTTTTATTTTCCTACCTAAAATTGTAATGCTGCAATGAAAATCAAACAAAAGCTTCTGATCATGAATAACCATTTGTGGTTCAACCATGTTAACATGTTCATGAAGATCTTGCAACCATTTGTGGTTAAACCATGTAAACATGTTCATGAAGATCTTGCAACCATTTCAGATGTCCTGAAATCAGAATTCCAAAGGTCATGTCATCCAGTCAGGTATGTGGAAACAAGTAACTCATTTCTACATTGTGAAGTATCGGAACATTTGGTCATTTATCAAACTCATACCAGAATGTCAAGTGCAGCGTGCCTTCTATGGATCGTTCTCCTTCTCTCGAAGCCAGAAAGGATTTAACCACTAAATCTGGAAACAAATTTATTCTGATAAAAAGTATTTGATATTTTCATTTTCAGTTGTCTCAAGACACAAATGACACCTTCATATCGACATCGATGACAACATTCAATGACTCTGCTATTGAGGAGAACATCTGGGATCTAGCCCTGAAGTGCAAGCGAGGCAGATACTACACTTGGGAGAGGAGAGGAATGTGAGCTACCAAACTTATTCAGTCATTACCTGTACCCAAACTCCCTCTACTAGAATTCAGGGACTAGTGGCATGATCATTAAACCCTGGGAACGTCATGTGATGTTGATATGTGAAGTCTGGGAAAGTTTTGAAAAATGGAATTAGCCCAAAAGTCGTGGAAATGTCATGGAATTATTTTCATACAAAACGTTTTGCACCCAAACTTGAACTTCCAATTAACTCAGTATTAACAAATGAAAACAAACAGTATTCAGTTTAGTGTTACCAGTTGATGGTGTCATACTGTTTTCATCAGTCTTCGTATACATGGCATACCCACAAATAACCTACAGAAATTGAGAACATCGGCCCTTGTGTTCATCGTGGTTTCAGCTGCCCATTCAAATATTCTGTCTCCAACAAAACTCCCAGTTACCCAAGAATATTAAATGGTTCAGGAGCCATTGGTTCGTAAGTGGTAGTGGTTTTGTTCTATACACAGATATCAGTTACGTCACGTAGATGTTCCTGGGTCAGCACCTTATTGTGAAACACAGATGGCTCCTAAAACAATAACAGAAGTCATTTAATTCTCTTTCCAATTTCTTCAGTTGTTGGGTTTTGTAAAACAACTAAAGTAGTCACTGTATCACTACACAAGGCTAAACAGGTTCTTTGTGTTTGGCAGAAATAAAGTTTGTGTTCAACATGTTCAACACATGACACATTGTCTTGAACCAATTCCAGTGAAGGATCCATTGAGAGACCCTACTTCTCTGAGGCAGGTCCACTAGCTGTGGACAAGTGGTACACACAGATGCTGCTGCAGCTCCAGGTTATCGCCCCTGGAGTAGTGCTGCCACCTAGGAGAGAAATCAGCCAATCACAGCTTCTCAAGGATGTTATCTACCTTCTGATTGGTGTAGAGTCACATACCTTTAAATTGGATGAGGTATGTTGTGTATTAGGAGGTACTTTCATGGTATCAATATATTTCTTTTGTCTATGTTGCCAATATTTCCATCAGTGCCTTCCTGGGAGTCTGTGGCCTACCCAAGTGGTTAGTGTCTTCGTGTTGCACAGTCAACTTGATTCCCCTGCACACAGGGAGATCATTGTGTCCCTGTCAGAACATGGCTGCTATCTGAACAGAGGCCTGAACAACTGTCCAGTACACACAGTTGGGATTCCAGTAGGATGGGATGGGTAACTTGGCTACTCTGGTCAGGCTGCTCCTGAGTGGGACCTGGGTACCCACAGGACTACCTGGACTCTGGCTAGTCATGGGATATATTGTTTATTGACAATAACAATTAATACGCAGGGTTACACTACAAGTCGCTAATGTTTGCATTTCTTTGACTGTGCATGCATTCCTTCTGACTTGTATGTAGAGATTAAGCTTCAGTCAGCCTCAGTGAATGCATGACCAGCTTGTTTTGTTCATATATCTAAATAGGTTTTGCCAGGGCTCCAGTAATGCAATCAGACATTTTGTACCCAACTCTTTGAGACCTTCAACAGGTACCAGGGTCAGGTTGGGTAATAGCAGATCCGGTACCTTGGTAATTCATTTTGACTTTTCCCCTCCCTAGATTCCATGTTTGTGTTGCTTTCCCCTTGGTTCCAGTGCTTAGAATTAAGAAAGGCTGATTGTTGCTCATGCTGTCAACCACTGGTTTGACTGATCCAAGTTGCTGTGATTTAGCTGGAATATTGCTGACTGCGTCATAAAACAACACTCATTCATTGGTAATATCAACAACTGGTTGTCTGGCCCAGACTGTATTATATACAGACCACAGTGATATAGGTGGAATATTGATGACTGCGTAATAAAACAACACTCACTCATTGGTAATATCAACAACTGGTTGTCTGGCCCAGACTGTATTATATACAGACCACAGTGATATAGGTGGAACATTGATGACTGCGTCATAAAACAACACTCACTCATTGGTAATATCAACAACTGGTTGTCTGGCCAAGACTGTATTATATACAGACCACAGTGATATAGGTGGAATATTGATGACTGCGTAATAAAACAACACTCATTCATTGGTAATATCAACAACTGGTTGTCTGGCCAAGACTGTATAATATACAGACCACAGTGATATAGGTGGAATATTGATGACTGCGTAATAAAACAACACTCATTCATTGGTAATATCAACAACTGGTTGTCTGGCCCAGACTGTATTATATACAGACCACAGTGATATAGGTGGAATATTGATGACTGCGTAATAAAACAACACTCATTCATTGGTAATATCAACAACTGGTTGTTTGGTATGGGCGGCCATTCGGTCAAAAAATACAAAGTTGAAAAAAAGGACAAAAGTAAGCAATTAAGGTCAAATATTACGAAAAAAGAACTAAATGTTGCTACTAAAGGTCAAAATACAATATTAATACTCAAATGTTACGAAAAGACGTCATAAGAAAAGAAAGAACAATGTGTACGAAAGAACGTCAGTGAGCACGAAAGGACGTTTTCAATAAAGAACGTCAGTGAGCACGAAAGGACGTTTTCAATAAAGAACGTCAGTGAGCACGAAAGGTTGTTGACAATAAAGAACGCCAGATGGGGCTGCAATTTGTAAAACATTCCGAGTTTAATCGGCTTGTTCCGCCGTGTATAGTATATGATAACTGCATGCCGAGGTGCACAATGTATTACGTCATTCCTCGTGCACTCACCGTCTAACGTCACACATATAAATGTGGATGTAAACAAGCGAAATAAATATGGTTTGAAAACGAAAGCTGGCATCATAGATGAAACTCGATTTTCTTTATTTATGGCGAGCTATTTTTCCTAACAAATGTGTAAGTTATACATATACATACAAATCCATTTGGTATATATATTTGTTGTTCAGATATTAGGCAGCATTTTGTTCGCACACAGTTTCCGAAAAGCTGTTAAATAAAACAAACTCTCACACAACGTTCACTTTTCAGATGAAAATGTGCGTCTGAAACAAAACTCGGCATCATAGCACCCTCGTGTTGCACCAAGCATGAACAGTTATTGGATCACTGTAGATGAATCCTAGTTTAGCGTTAAGTGATTGTTTTTTCAAGGTTGTATACAAAATAGACGTTAGACGGTGAGTGCACGAGGAATGACGTAATACATTGTGCACCTCGGCATGCAGTTATCATATACTATACACGGCGGAACAAGCCGATTAAACTCGGAATGTTTTACAAATTGCAGCCCCATCTGGCGTTCTTTATTTTCAACGTCCTTTCCTGCTCACTGACGTTCTTTATTGAAAACGTCCTTTCGTGCCCACTGACGTTCTTTATTTTCAACGTCCTTTCCTGCTCACTGACGTTCTTTATTGAAAACGTCCTTTCGTGCCCACTGACGTTCTTTATTGAAAACGTCCTTTCGTGCTCACTGACGTTCTTTATTGAAAACGTCCTTTCGTGCTCACTGACGTTCTTTCGTACACATTGTTCTTTCTTTTCTTATGACGTCTTTTCGTAACATTTGAGTATTAATATTGTATTTTGACCTTTAGTAGTAACATTTAGTTCTTTATTCGTAATATTTGACCTTAATTGCGTACTTTTGTCCTTTTTTTCAACTTTGTATTTTCTGACCGAATGGCTGCCCATAGTCTGGCCCAGACTGTATTATATACAGACCACAGTGATTTAGGTGGAATATTGATGACTGCGGCATAAAACAACACTCACTCATTGCTATTCCTTATTCGCAGGCGACTCAGAGTTTTATGACAACAGAAGGAGTGTACGTCACAGGGATAACTCCCGATGCCCTCAGCAATTGCCTGAGGGATTTTGTTGCTTGTGGTTCCAACTACTACCGTCTCAACCTGTGCTCTAAGGCTCCTGTGGTGGACTCCTTCTATGAGAAGGGGATGGTGTTCCAGGCCTACACTGGTGCCGTGCGCAAATTCCTGCAACACTACCGAGCCGTCATACTCTCTGTCCCACCCAAAACTACACTTCTGCAGCTCAAGTTTACCTGTGAAAGAACATTCCAGCAAATTAGGTACATTCACATGATAGATCTAGTGTACATTGTAGGGATTAATGTTTATCAATATTAAAGAGGTAGATGGTATGAATGGATTTTATGCATTTTTCGTGTGTCCTTTCTAAATCTGTAGTCATCATTGCAATATTTTCTATTGGTCAGACCATTTTTGTTTACTTGATTTAAGGGTATGCAAACATTTTGCTTTCAAAACTTTCTCGGAAGTTTTGAGCATTTATTGCTTGATGAATGTTCTTGGTATACTGTGAGACTATAACAATTGCGTCCCTAAACTATTCCTATCCTGCTACGACAATGTGCAGGTTGCTTCTTATCTTCGATACCCACAACAGAGTGAAAACTCATCACACGAAGACATCCCAGAATGCAGCCACCCTTTCAGAGCTAACTTCCCTCGATCTTCCTCTTGTCTACGTCTCAAGCAGTTCTACCAGTTCAGGAGTGATGGGGAAGTGCTACTGTGTGGCTGGGACCTGTCACCACCAACCACCCCGGCTGTTTCCAATCCAGTAGGTGGCAGATGACAGAAATTCTGGAAGGATTGGGAGCAAGTGTTCAAGGACACGGTAGTCAATACCCTGAGATACCTATATCGACTTGGATTAGGATTCTCCAGCCCCTCGTCCTGCATAACTACCCTGCCCACAGGGCCATCAGATACTCCGGATAGAACGTGGAGATCTTGTAGGAAAGGCCATAGAAGAAATACTGGCTGACGTGGTTACTCGGGGATTATATCCCAGAATGTTTCTGGCACCCTAGAAAAACTCCATGTCACACATAACAACCATGATTGGCAATCTCAAGGTTTGAAAGTATGTTCCCAGGTTCTGTATACTCACGTTGGTGCAGCTGTATCTGTGCATTCAGTCACTACATTAGACGTACAGGATGCCTACCTCCATGATCCAATACACCCATACTCGGTCAGGTATCCATGGTTCCATTTCTAGGGTTGACATTTCCAGGGGCTCGTCCTACCATTTGTCAGCCCCATGGCTATTTACCCAAATATCTAGTCCAATATAAGCCTTCCTATATCATTGGGGGATCAGCTTCGATTCCTACATCAACGTCTGCAATCTGTGTTACTGAAGTTGGTGATCCTGTCTAAAGTCTCCACTTAAACTTCTCCCCTCTACTCTTGGCACAGCTGGGATGGATAATCAACGAGGGAACTCAGAGGTAAACCCTAGGGCAGTCCCTGCAGTTCATCAGTGTAAAACAGCCTGGAAAACATCTCGGTTCCGGAAGACAGGTGGTTACAGATTTAGATGCATCTGGAGACATCTCAGTACACCAGTGGCAAGTAATGTTGGGTAGCCTCACGTCAGCCAAGGACTTTACCAGATGGGGTTGACTCCAACATTGAGATCTTTAGGTTTTCTCCAATCTATGATAGATCGAAATCAAACCAATCTTCTACTACCATTAGACCGGGATGTGCATGCCCATCTTAAGTGGTGGACCTTCGAGTTGAATGTCTTTGATGGATTCTCTTTGACAGACTTTGTGCCCACTCATCACCTGTTTGTGGGTGCCTCTCTTCAGTGCTGGGGAGTGCTGATGTATGACATGATGGTGGGAGTGTTGTCAGACATTGTCAAGGATTGGCACATCAACTGCCTGGAATTCCTAGCAGTCACTCTCGTCATTAAGACATGGCAACAATCCCTTTGCCACAGTTGTGTAATGACTGCCATCAACAACTCCACACGTGGCAGCCTACTACACCAACATGATGGGATCCATGATTCCCAACTCCTCCTGGTGTTGACATTCCGGTTTGACAACCTGATACAAAGTGTTTCGCTAAAGGCACGGGCATGTTAATGAGAATGTCTCCAATCCCAGGTCCTCGACCAGTGGATCACAACTTGCTGGTGATCTTGTGGGAGAACCCCCATGCATACACTTATCCTACTCCAATCCTGCTGCAAGATGTTTTCACTCTGTGTTATGGATATCCAAGATAACAAGCAGATTGCCCAATATCCTAGCAGGCTAGGAATATACAGAACACTCAGATTCATGTAACAGGGTGATGTGATTGACATTCTGGTTGCTATAGTTTGGGTTACCTAACCTCCATCAATGCCTTCATCTTATAGAATGTTCCGTAGAAACACCAAACTAGATTCCATGTCTACACTTCATCATCATGTTCATAATGATCTGAATAATGATATTCTGTTCTGTGTGTAGGTTCCTGTCTCAGCTGTGTTGGTGTGGACGAGACAACATCAACTTCCCTACAGTGAGTTAGACCATCCATATAATTTTTGTTTCCCATCTCCATGCTCAGCTTCAGTGGGGGTGTGTGGGCGGTTGAAAATACCAAAGGAAGTTTTAGCTCACCTGACTGAAAGCCTTTTCTGCTCAAAATGTCTATTTGTTCTCTCAAATGCATTGCGTGGTTTGATAACATCTCTGAAATTGACAGACGGGGCAAGCTGAACTTTGGCATATATGTAGCTCCTTTAGACCTTATGATGACAACTATTTTCGTATTCTTTTTGGTAGTGTCTCTTTTAGATGGTTCCTCTTCAGTTTTGTTTGGACATGTGAAACCTTGAATGAAGGAAATGCCAGAGGTTTTACATTTTCAACCAAGATCGAGGGTGTTGTCAGGGTATGTCCAGTGAACATGATGGTGTCTGTGGTATGTTGTCAGGGTATGTCCAGTGATCGTAATGGTGTCTGTGGTATGTTGTCAGGGTATGTCCAGTGAACACGAAGGTGTCTGTGGTATGTTGTCAGGGTATGTCCAGTGATCATGATGGTGTCTGTGGTATGTTGTCAGGGTATCCAGTTGCTGACGTATCTGTACCAGGAGACTCTGGAGGCGGTGAACACAGACAACTACCCCATGATGCTGGCCATCCTACAGACAGCATGTGGACCTTACACCGTGTAAGACTGGTCACTGACGTTTCTGCATTCACTAGCCTGATATGAATATGTGTTCCATTTGCAGAAAATTTCCTGAATCACTGATAGAAACATTTGTAGTCCACTCATCCTTATAATGATAATATATAGCAAAACTCTTAAAAAGGGCGATTTAAATGATACCTTTACTATTGGGTAGACCCGGGAAGATCTAGGGTAGATTAGGTTTTCAGCAACCCATGCTTGTCATAAAAGGCAATGACTAACGGGATCGGGTGGTCAGGCTCGCTGACTTGGTTGATAGATGTCATCGTATCCCAATTGCGTGGATTGATGCTCATGATGTCAATCACTGGATTGTCTGGTCCAGACTCGATTATTTGCTGACCGTCATATAGCTGGAATATTGCTGAGTGCGGTGTTAAACAACAAACAAAGGAAACTATTGGGTTGTTTGGCAAGAACCATAGGACGAGTGCCAATTTTTATTGTGCAGTAAATCAGGACCACACGGCTTGCAAATTGCTATTTGTTACGACACAGTTAACTGACCACATGACCACACAGATCTCTATGTTCCATGTTATCTTGTAGTATGTGTTGTGTATTTGATCTAACACTGTCAGTGATTGTACAGGTTTGTACAGGAGTGGGTGTTTCATGGCTCCTTCAGAGATGTGTATGGAGAGTTCACCATCCAGGTCAACCACCAGTATCTGGAGTATCGGGGTGAGTAGGCAGACGTACTCCTTCATACACACTCATAGAACAACCACCAGTATCTGGAGTATCGGGGTGAGTAGGCAGACGTACACCTTCATACACACTCATAGAACAACCACCAGTATCTGGAGTATCGGGGTGAGTAGGCAGACGTACTCCTTCAATCATACTGTCATAGGTCAACTACCAGTATCTGTAGTATCGGGGTGAGTAGGCAGACGTACACCTTCATACACACTCATAGAACAACCACCAGTATCTGGAGTATCGGGGTGAGTAGGCAGACGTACACCTTCATACACACTCATAGAACAACCACCAGTATCTGGAGTATCGGGGTGAGTAGGCAGACGTACTCCTTCATACACACTCATAGAACAACCACCAGTATCTGGAGTATCGGGGTGAGTAGGCAGACGTACTCCTTCATACACACTCATAGAACAACCACCAGTATCTGGAGTATCGGGGTGAGTAGGCAGACGTACACCTTCATACACACTCATAGAACAACCACCAGTATCTGGAGTATCGGGGTGAGTAGGCAGACGTACTCATTCAGTCATACTGTCATAGGTCAACTACCAGTATCTGTAGTATCGGGGTGAGTAGGCAGACGTACTCATTCAGTCAAACTGTCATAGGTAAACCACCAGTATCTGGAGTATCGGGGTGAGTAGGTAGAGATACACCCTCAGTCATACTGTCATAGGTCAACTACCAGTATCTGGAGTATCGGGGTGAGTAGGTAGAGATACACCCTCAGTCAAACTGTCATAGGTCAACTACCAGTATCTGGAGTATCGGGGTGAGTAGGCAGACGTACTCCTTCAGTCATACTGTCATAGGTCAACCACCAGTATCTGGAGTATCGGGGTGAGTAGGCAGACGTACTCCTTCAGTCATACTGTCATAGGTCAACCACCAGTATCTGGAGCAACGGGGTGAGTAGGCAGACGTACACCTTCAGTCATACTGTCATAGGTCAACCACCAGTATCTGGAGTATCGGAGTGAGTAGGTAGAGATACACCCTCAGTCAAACTGTCATAGGTCAACTACCAGTATCTGGAGTATCGGGGTGAGTAGGCAGACGTACTCCTTCAATCACACTGTCATAGATCAACCACCAGTATCTGGAGTATCGGGGTGAGTAGGCAGACATACACCTTCATTCAAGCTGTCATAGGTCAACCACCAGTATCTGGAGTATCGGGGTGAGTAGGCAGACGTACACCTTCATACACACTCATAGAACAACCACCAGTATCTGGAGTATCGGGGTGAGTAGGCAGATGTACTCCTTCAGTCATACTGTCATAGGTCAACCACCAGTATCTGGAGTATCGGAGTGAGTAGGTAGAGATACACCCTCAGTCAAACTGTCATAGGTCAACTACCAGTATCTGGAGTATCGGGGTGAGTAGGCAGACGTACTCCTTCAATCACACTGTCATAGATCAACCACCAGTATCTGGAGTATCGGGGTGAGTAGGCAGACATACACCTTCATTCAAGCTGTCATAGGTCAACCACCAGTATCTGGAGTATCGGGGTGAGTAGGCAGACGTACACCTTCATTCACGCTGTCATAGGTCAACCACCAGTATCTGGAGTATCGGGGTGAGTAGGCAGATGTACTCCTTCATTCACGCTGTCATAGGTCAACCACCAGTATCTGGAGTATTGGGGTGAGTAGGCAGACGTACACCTTCATACACACTCATAGAACAACCACCAGTATCTGGAGTATCGGGGTGAGTAGGCAGATGTACTCCTTCAGTCATACTGTCATAGGTCAACCACCAGTATCTGGAGTATCGGGGTGAGTAGGTAGAGATACACCCTCAGTCACACTGTCATAGGTCAACCACCAGTATCTGGAGTATCGGGGTGAGTAGGCAGACGTACACCTTCATTCACACTGTCATAGGTCAACTACCAGTATCTGGAGTATCGGGGTGAGTAGGCAGACGTACATCTTCAGTCACACTGTCATAGGTCAACTACCAGTATCTGGAGTATCGGGGTGAGTAGGCAGATGTACTCCTTCATTCACGCTGTCATAGGTCAACCACCAGTATCTGGAGTATTGGGGTGAGTAGGCAGACGTACACCTTCATACACACTCATAGAACAACCACCAGTATCTGGAGTATCGGGGTGAGTAGGCAGATGTACTCCTTCAGTCATACTGTCATAGGTCAACCACCAGTATCTGGAGTATCGGGGTGAGTAGGTAGAGATACACCCTCAGTCATACTGTCATAGGTCAACTACCAGTATCTGGAGTATCGGGGTGAGTAGGTAGAGATACACCCTCAGTCAAACTGTCATAGGTCAACTACCAGTATCTGGAGTATCGGGGTGAGTAGGCAGACGTACTCCTTCAGTCATACTGTCATAGGTCAACCACCAGTATCTGGAGTATCGGGGTGAGTAGGCAGACGTACTCCTTCAGTCATACTGTCATAGGTCAACCACCAGTATCTGGAGCAACGGGGTGAGTAGGCAGACGTACACCTTCAGTCATACTGTCATAGGTCAACCACCAGTATCTGGAGTATCGGAGTGAGTAGGTAGAGATACACCCTCAGTCAAACTGTCATAGGTCAACTACCAGTATCTGGAGTATCGGGGTGAGTAGGCAGACGTACTCCTTCAATCACACTGTCATAGATCAACCACCAGTATCTGGAGTATCGGGGTGAGTAGGCAGACATACACCTTCATTCAAGCTGTCATAGGTCAACCACCAGTATCTGGAGTATCGGGGTGAGTAGGCAGACGTACACCTTCATACACACTCATAGAACAACCACCAGTATCTGGAGTATCGGGGTGAGTAGGCAGATGTACTCCTTCAGTCATACTGTCATAGGTCAACCACCAGTATCTGGAGTATCGGAGTGAGTAGGTAGAGATACACCCTCAGTCAAACTGTCATAGGTCAACTACCAGTATCTGGAGTATCGGGGTGAGTAGGCAGACGTACTCCTTCAATCACACTGTCATAGATCAACCACCAGTATCTGGAGTATCGGGGTGAGTAGGCAGACATACACCTTCATTCAAGCTGTCATAGGTCAACCACCAGTATCTGGAGTATCGGGGTGAGTAGGCAGACGTACACCTTCATTCACGCTGTCATAGGTCAACCACCAGTATCTGGAGTATCGGGGTGAGTAGGCAGATGTACTCCTTCATTCACGCTGTCATAGGTCAACCACCAGTATCTGGAGTATTGGGGTGAGTAGGCAGACGTACACCTTCATACACACTCATAGAACAACCACCAGTATCTGGAGTATCGGGGTGAGTAGGCAGATGTACTCCTTCAGTCATACTGTCATAGGTCAACCACCAGTATCTGGAGTATCGGGGTGAGTAGGTAGAGATACACCCTCAGTCACACTGTCATAGGTCAACCACCAGTATCTGGAGTATCGGGGTGAGTAGGCAGACGTACACCTTCATTCACACTGTCATAGGTCAACTACCAGTATCTGGAGTATCGGGGTGAGTAGGCAGACGTACATCTTCAGTCACACTGTCATAGGTCAACTACCAGTATCTGGAGTATTGGGGTGAGTAGGCAGACGTACACCTTCATACACACTCATAGAACAACCACCAGTATCTGGAGTATCGGGGTGAGTAGGCAGATGTACTCCTTCAGTCATACTGTCATAGGTCAACCACCAGTATCTGGAGTATCGGGGTGAGTAGGCAGACGTACACCTTCAGTCATACTGTCATAGGTCAACCACCAGTATCTGGAGTATCGGAGTGAGTAGGTAGAGATACACCCTCAGTCACACTGTCATAGGTCAACCACCAGTATCTGGAGTATCGGGGTGAGTAGGCAGACGTACACCTTCATTCACACTGTCATAGGTCAACTACCAGTATCTGGAGTATCGGGGTGAGTAGGCAGACGTACATCTTCAGTCACACTGTCATAGGTCAACTACCAGTATCTGGAGTATCGGGGTGAGTAGGCAGACGTACATCTTCAGTCACACTGTCATAGGTCAACCACCAGTATCTGGAGTATCGGGGTGAGTAGGCAGACGTACATCTTCAGTCACACTGTCATAGGTCAACCACCAGTATCTGGAGTATCGGGGTGAGTAGGCAGACGTACACCTTCATTCACGCTGTCATAGGTCAACCACCAGTATCTGGAGTATCGGAGTGAGTAGGTAGAGATACACCCTCAGTCACACTGTCATAGGTCAACCACCAGTATCTGGAGTATCTGGGTGAGTAGGCAGACGTACATCTTCATTCACACTGTCATAGGTCAACTACCAGTATCTGGAGTATCGGGGTGAGTAGGCAGACGTACATCTTCAGTCACACTGTCATAGGTCAACCACCAGTATCTGGAGTATCGGGTTGAGTAGGCAGACGTACACCTTCATTCACGCTGTCATAGGTCAACCACCAGTATCTGGAGTATCGGGGTGAGTAGGCAGACGTACACCTTCATTCACGCTGTCATAGGTCAACCACCAGTATCTGGAGTATCGGGGTGAGTAGGCAGACGTACACCTTCATTCACGCTGTCATAGGTCAACCACCAGTATCTGGAGTATCGGAGTGAGTAGGTAGAGATACACCCTCAGTCACACTGTCATAGGTCAACCACCAGTATCTGGAGTATCTGGGTGAGTAGGCAGACGTACATCTTCATTCACACTGTCATAGGTCAACTACCAGTATCTGGAGTATCGGGGTGAGTAGGCAGACGTACATCTTCAGTCACACTGTCATAGGTCAACTACCAGTATCTGGAGTATCGGGGAGAGTAGGCAGATGTCACACAGTCATCAGGTTTGTAGAGGGCATACAGGGATTCACTGAAGTTAGGAGAGTTCCCAAATGTCCTGTAAAGCCACATGCCACTGTATGTATTGGAAGTGATCAGGGAGCATTCTCACAAGACTACATATCACCAAACATAATGTCACTGTTTTATCTGCTCAGTTTAGTGTGAATGAGGTCAAGAAGTATTGACCTTGGTGCTGTAGAAACAATATTGTTGCCATTAGAGGCAACTACAAATGATTGGTTGTCGAGTTCGTTGACGCTCACTGCATGTCATCCTGCCCTGATTGCATGGATCGTTTCTCAGCCATGATAAGTACCAGTAGCTAGGATAGTGCTGACTAAGGCATTCAACACTAACTCACACACTGCAGGATCTGTGATGAGATATAATGATGTTTTCCTGCAGACAAGCACTACTGGACCGACGGCTATGCCTTGGCTGCAGAACAGATTGAGGACAGCGCACCTGTCTTCCTCCGTGACATGGCCTGTGACATCTTCATCTGCGGGAAGACCATCAACCTTCTCAAAATCTGCTGTCCAGAGGTGGGTCACATTGCAAGGCTTCACAGATATCTAGAAGTTCCATCTTGATATAAGTAGTCTTGTCCTTGCTGGAACCTGTGGTGACAGAATATGTTTCTTTCAGCACTTCATCTGTCAAGTTGATGACAGTGACATCCCACATGTGACAGTGACGTTTTCCGAGGGGCAGCTGTCAACACTTGACACACGCTGTCAGATATATGTCAGCAAGATGCAGCAGATTGCCAGGAACCTCACCATATCCAGGTAAATGACACATCCAGGAGGTGCCAGTTATATCCAGGTAAATGACCAATCTATAGGATGCCAGTCATATCCAGGTAAATAACAGATCTATGGGATGCCAGTCATATCCAGGTAAATGATAGGTCCATAGATGCCAGTCTTATCCAGGTAAATAACTGGTCCATAGATGCCAGTCATATCCAGGTAAATAACAGGTCCATAGATGCCAGTCATTTCCAGGTAAATAACCAATGTATAGGACACCAGTCATATTCAGATGGATAACATGATAGATTCAGACCAAAGTCTTTAATCTGAAACTTTTCACACACAGCAGTTAGCCTGGTTACTGTAAATCTTGAAATTTCGCGTGAATTAAATGCGAAAAATGCGAGTGGTCTTTGCTGGCATTATAAAAACATCGCATTTATATCAACAATAAGACACACGCTGAAAACAAACAACTATGTATTCCACATCACTGTTTATTGAGCAGCACTTGTAACAAGTATATAAACACTAATTACATCCTGTGAATTGTCACTGCTGGTGTCAAGACAAGAGTTCTACTCACTTATGTCATCACTGATCCCACCTGCAAGTCCAGACAGACGCCACCCACGCAACATGGTGTCTTTGTTCTTTGCGACTGTGTCAAAGGCCGACATGAGTCAGCACGCATGTATTGTTTTAGCCTAAGTAATCTACTCAGCGCTAAAAAGCGGTGCTATATGGTGTGTGATTGGATTAATGTAAGGTTGGATAAATGTGAGTATTCTCCTGTAAACCTGAGAGAGAACATTTTCTTTAGATATAAATCCACTGATGCTTGAGAGGAGGGGGGTGTCGTATTCATATTGAGTCGAAGTTTTGGCTAGGGGCAAGCGGTCGCATTCTTTTGGAGACGCATTAATTTCACGATTTACAGTATTTGAGTGTAGCTAGGAGAATTAGAGTGAGCACATCAGATGTATCAGGATGGTGATATTGTATGAAGTGCTGGACTTGGAGTCTGTCCCTTTTGACCAAGGCATTGACCCTGTTCTAGACAGTCATGCCCTGCTACATGTGGACTAATGAAGTGTGTTATGACTGTGCTTCAGGGAGCAGATGGTGGAGCAGGCTGAGCAGGCGAAGCGAGACTTGATGGAGAAGGCTCACACGGTAGCTTCGCAGGAGATTGCTAGACTGCAAGGTCAGTCTCCTTGTCACTGACACTAATCAGCAGGGATGTGAAATCTCCACGGAAATGCGGAAAACCTCGTTTTTTAAAACAGTAGTCCTCAGAAAAAATCATCTTCCGCGTAAAAATATAATCAGATTTTTTAAAAAAACACTCGGGGAAAAATGGTATCGAAAACCGGACAACCGTCGCGGATTGTCCTGTTTTTGATCAGAGCTTTCAGCATCATAGGTTTTCGGACATCATATGTTTTCTATCACGAATACTTAACGTGGGGTGTGGCGTCACACAGAAATTGTAAATACTCAGATGATGGCTTGTTTTTAAGATAAAGTTGTCTTTTAGCCTATAAGTTGTTCAAGTGATTAGCGAGAAAACTATGAATGTTTCTTCAGCGTCTGAAAACCCATAACCTTGGGATATATATTGTCTTATGTTTGCAATGGAGTTTTGGGTTTTTTTCAACAAAAGGTAAGTATGTACAAGGTAAGTTTTTATCAATATGCTTCAACATGGGGAAAGGGTCAGACATTGCACGCTTCTGACAGTTGTCCTTGTGTCTGGGGGATGGGGGGTGAAGTTTATGGCAGTATTGCTCCCAGACCCGGCAGGTAGCCAGGTGCACGGAAGCTATGCCCGAATTTTTAAAAGTACTGATTTAACTTCGAAATTTTACTGCAGGAAAACCTGCTCACATCCCTGAATCAGGGTTCTCTAATCTTCAGATAGAAGTGTACTTTAGTGGAACCTCTGTTGGTGACTGACACCAATTTAGTTTCGAGTAAATATTGAAATTAAATCAGTTGTTAAGTATCTACATAGAACTAGTTACTTGTGCAGATTATATATGATGATGAATATTAAAGCAGTTGAGACTGAAATAGTTCTTTGTAACTGTCAGTGCTCTATACCTGTGTTGGCTCTGCCATGTTCTTCTGTATTCATGTTTACCATCCTTGATGGACCCACACCTGCGCAACATGTCCCCTTCCCTTCCAATGGGAGGATCTGGGTGTCTGAGAAGATCAGGAGGCCACGATGGCTACAAGTTGGATGGTTATCACTCTTGGCCTGTCCTGGTCGATTGTGTGTCATCATAACGTGACAATGTGCATCAAGTACTTTCATCCTATGCTAGAGCCTGCCCTTGTTGTGTTGATGTCCGCCATAATATTCCTGGAATGTTGCTAAAAATGGCGTAAGACCATACTCACTCACTCTTATGAGGATGCCAACATTCATGATGTTTTTCCTCATGTTGGCAGCTAAGATTGATGAGAGGAAGAAGGCTGCCGACATGAAGAAGAGGCAGGAGTTCCAGCGGCTCAAGAGTCAGATGGTCACAGACCTGCAGGTGGGTGGAGAGTGTCAATACACCGCAGGTTGAAAACCTACCTAAACTCAGAAACACTATGCAATACATGTCAGGAGCTTGTTTCCAGTTACACGTGTGTTGTGACTTGCCTGTGTGTGTTGTAGAGGCGTGCCGGGGAGAAGGAGCAGAGTGCAGAGGAGGACAAGGAGCACATGGCCCGACTGACCAGATCTGAGGAGGCCATGGAGGCTCGGGAACTGCAGCTGGAACAGGAGGCCAGGTAGGACCTGTAGATAGGGGATTAGTTGGGAGGGGCTAGGTGGTGCAGAGGCTGGGTGGGAGGGGTTAGGTGGTGCAGAGGCTGGGTGGGAGGGGCTAGGTGGTGCAGAGGCTGGGTGGGAAGGGCTAGGTGGTGCAGAGGCTGGGTGGGAGGGGCCAGCTGGTGCAGCAGCTGGGTGAGAGGGGCTAGGTGGTGCAGAGGCTGGGTGGGAGGGGCTATGTGGTGCAGAGGCTGGGTGGGAGGGTTTAGGTGGTGCAGCAGCTGGGTGGGAGGGGCCAGATGGTGCAGTGGCTGCGTGGGAGGGGCTATGTGGTGCAGAGGCCAGGTGGGAGGGGCTAGGTGGTGCAGAGGCTGGGTGGGAGGGGCTAGGTGGTGCAGAGGCTGGGTGGGAGGGGCTAGGTGGTGCAGAGGCTGGGTGGGAGGGGCTAGGTGGTGCAGAGGCTGGGTGAGAGGGGCTATGTGGTGCAGAGGCTGGGTGGGAGGGGCTAGGTGGTGCAGAGGCTGGGTGGGAGGGGCTAGGTGGTGCAGAGGCTGGGTGGGAGGGGCCAGATGGTGCAGTGGCTGCGTGGGAGGGGCTAGGTGGTGCAGAGGCCAGGTGGGAGGGGGTAAGCTGGTGCAACGGCTGAGGGGCTATGTGGTGCAGAGGCTGGGTGGGAGGGGCTAGGTGGTGCAGAGGCTGGGTGGGAGGGGCTAGGTGGTGCAGAGGCTGGGTGGGAGGGGCCAGATGGTGCAGTGGCTGCGTTGGAGGGGCTAGGTGGTGCAGAGGCCAGGTGGGAGGGGGTAAGCTGGTGCAACGGCTGGTGGGAGGGGCTAGGTGGTGCAGAGGCTGGGTGGGAGGGGCTAGGTGGTGCAGAGGCCAGGTGGGAGGGGCTAGGTGGTGCAGAGGCCAGGTGGGAGGGGGTAAGCTTGTGCAGAGGCTGGGTGGGAGGGGGTTAAGTGGCGCAGATGCTGCATGGGAGGGGGTTAGGTGGCAGGGTAGGTGGTGCGCACAGCTCAGGTTCGAGGGAGAGGGCATTACTACGTTTCTAATGTGGTAGAAAGTTTTGCACTTGTCAAGCATCATGTGGACAGTATAGTGAGGCAGCATCACTGCTGTAGGGAGGAGTTGGTCAAGTACTATGCCGAGCTGAGTGAGGAGGCGGCCCAGAGGGAACAGAAGGCCTTGTGGAAGGTGCGACGCTCTCGACTGGAGCTGGCCAGGGTGGACTTCCTCTCAGCCGACCAGGAGAAGTGGAGAAGAGAGATGGAGGAAGCAACTGAAGCCAAGGTAGGGGCACTGGTCTGCAACAAACCTTTCTACAGTAACAAGTGTTGACAACAGTGATGTCACCCTGCATCATGAATTCTGCAAATATGGTTACACATTCAGAAAAATGCGTAAAATGTTATTAACTGAGTTTTAGCTCACCTGACTGAAAGTCAAGAGAACTTTTGTTGTTTGGCTGTCATCCATCAGAAACATCTCCTCACAAACTACTTGACTAATGAAGCTGAATCTTCACATCCCACCAATGATTACATCTCACTCTGGTTTAAGAAGTTCAAATCTGAATTTCAATATGGCTGCTATGTTTTGTTCAATTATTATCATTTATGTTTTCAGTAGGAACAAACCAATATTAACCACTGATTGATGATTGCAACCAAGAAATCTGCCAACTTATGTTTTCCCACTCAATTCATTGTCACTTTCAATAAAGTTATGGAACGATTATATTATATTACAAAGTTTGTATTTTGTTTGTCTCTCTAAGGCTGTGTTGGAACGTGACCAAGACACCAGCTTGCCTGTGTGGGCGGAGAAAGTCAATGATAGCCCAGATGGAAATCCTGTGATAGCAGACGACACAGAACCTGATGCTGCTGCTCTACCCAAGTGGGCAGAGCGTGGACTCACTGCTCCTCCGGCTGCTGTGTACGGTCTCGATACATCAGCTGAACAGAAACTGCCTGGGTGGGCGAGGAAAGGGCTTGAGACGTACAGTGTTGAGGAGGAGCCAGTCGTTGTGGAGGGGGGTGATGGCGACGGACTCCATGATGGGGTGTTTGTGTCCCCTAGGAAGAAAACTGGGCTCCGCATGAATGAATCTTTTACTGCTTCCAAGGAGTCGGAAGAAAGTCCCGAGAAGAAGACCATTCGTGTGTTTGAAGAGATGCACTGTACAACAGAATCCGATGGAGTTGGTGCTGCTAAGCCACAGGTGAAGCTGATGCAGGACAGACATGCAACGACTGAGACTGTGCCTGATGAAGAATACAAACCCAATGTGAAGATATCTGAGGAAATGCATGCAACGAAGGAAACTGAGAGTTCAGATCAAAAGCCCCACATTAAGGTCGTCCTTGACGTCCACGCCAACATGGAGTCAACATCCAGCCAGGAGGTATCTGCACCCAAGCTGAAGAGACACAGCGAGCAGCATGCAAATGTTGAAACAACTTCAAAAGAATGGAAAGTGAAGAAGCAGAATTTCTATGGACATGTTTCAAAAGTTTCTGGCTTGGAATATGATATCACGGCTCCTAAGTTGAAAAAACATGCCGAGATCTATGCCAATTTGCAATCGGACACAAATGACTTTGCCATCCGTCCAATGATAAAGATCAACAAAGCCTTGATGGTGAACATGGAGAGTCAGTCGGCAGCATTTAAGCCGATGATCCGGGTGGACAAACACAAGCATAGCTCCAGGGAGTCTGAGTTTGTGGACCTGGATGAAAGGAGATTGAAGAAGTTCAGGATCAGGAACATACACGGCCATTCATCCGACTCAACGGTGCAGAAACTGTTGTATGGAGAGAAGTATGGAAGTCCAAGCAGTGAGCGAGGGGAGAAGGAGTCGGAACATGTGACAGGTGAGAGAAGAATGTAATGTGTATTTTGTGATTTGAACCAGAAGTAGTAGGTACCTGCTGGACTGTCAAACATTGTTTGAGAAACCATGGATGAAGATTTGTGTGTGTGCTTGCGAATAAGAATGCTATGTTTACAGTGTCTGAAATAACTGCCTGCCCAGGGCTGGTTACTCTTCTGTCGGGATGTATGAAAATTTTCTCCACCTTCTCGACTGTCTGGCAGATAATTTTATGACTACTTACATATTCAGTTTTTTGTAGATTCTCAAGTAATTGTTTGCATTATTTCAACTGCATCGGATGAAGATGGCCAGCAACTTTGATGATGTGCAGGCAACATTTATGGTCACCTACCCGACTGACTAGTTTTAAAATTATTTCAAAAAGTGTATGTTTCTGTCAGACACCAGCATGGACATCATGACTGCAGCGGCATCCCACTCCATGTGGATGGATAACGAGAAAGACCAGTACCAGGACAACTTTGACTGCCTCAGTGAGTTCAACTTATACTTCCAGCTGGAGATTTTGTTGATTCAACCTAGTCTCATGAATTTATGTTTCTAATTTAGGACCATATTGATCTCACAATAATAACAAAATGCAGCAGAAGTGTGGAGAACATAATTTTGGAGGCATACATGGATTAATGAAATATATTTCATTCATATCATTTCATTGAATTTTACATTTTGTTAAATGATAGAAAAATACTAGAAACAGAAGTTGTCAGGTTTTCAGATTAAGAACTAAGTAATCTAGGTTATCGTCACAGATGTTGAGATTGTGTGAAGATTGAAGCATGTTGATCTTCATATTGCCTGTGTTCCTGCAGATGAGCCTCCAGTGGCTGACCTAATGGCGTCGACCCCCATGGCATATGGCAGCTGGGGGGACTATGGCATCAGCCTGGAGGGAGAGGTGGAGGCTTTCCGATACATGCCACTGCCAGCCATACTGCACAGAACAATCACTGCCTCACTCAAAGCTCAGTAAGTCGAACTTTGTGAACAGATCATTTTTCATGTGTCTTGATTCTCGCTTACAATACAATTGTCCTTTGTATCTTAGCCCGCGATAAAATATTTGGTTTTTATGCAAATTGGGGGGCTTCACTTTTATCCCACGTCATAATGATCTGGGATATAGTCATCATCTGGTCCGTCTGTATTTTGTTTTCCAGAGCATAATTTGAAAACCATGAGAGATTTTTCAGCGAAACTTGGTGCATTTATTAGCCAGGGGCTGAAGTGGTGCCTTTTGCTATTGTGGGGGCGGGGAGATTTGTCATCTTCTGATGACTCTTGTTGTCTAAGCAAACTGTCAACAGATTCACATGAATCAGTGAAGCACATGAAATTTTGATGTCATTGACCACTGGTTTACATGCTATAACTTTGGCTACACTGTAATGCTCATCTTAATGTCCACACGATCCATTCAGATCCGGGGTAGAATAGGTCTTCAGCAACCCATGCTTGCCTAAAAGGCGACTATGCTTGTTGTAAAAGATGACTACCGGGATTGGGTGGTCAGGCTCGCTGACTTGGTTGATGCATGTCATCGATCCTAATTGCGTGTATCAATGTTCATGATGTAAATCACTGGAATGTCTGGTCCAGACTCGATTATTTACAGACCGCAGTCATATAGCTGGAATATTTCTGAATGCCGCGTAAAACAATAAACCAAACCAAAAACTAATGTCCACACATACTGAAATTACAGAGCTTGCCTCCTTGTCATCTCAATCGATTCAGGGAAGGTCAGAGCCAGCAAATAGAGGAAATGGTTGATTGTGTGCCATCTTTCTCTTGCTATAAATCACTGGATTGTCTGGTTCGTAGGTCCAAAGCACTCAACTGGATCTGGTGGCTTCATTGTATGTCATCCACCGAGTGGGACCATGCTCATAGCATTAACCACTGGTCCAGACTGGATTGTTTAAAGGCTGACGAAATACAGCTGGAATTTTGCTGACAGCAGTGTAAAGCAAGAAACAAACAACACAATGGTTGTGACACTTGTGTTCTCATTTTCCACCTTTGTAGAGTCAACCTTGTGAACAAGTGCATCATCGACTACTTCTTCTCTGAATTAAAAATACAAAGTCATTTTGAGGCTCTCAGAAGTTTCCTGTTCATGGGAGATGGAGACTTTGCTCAAATTTTGAGTGATATTCTTCTGGACAAGGTGAGATTTCAGTCATTGTTCATTAAATATTTGAAATAGTGAAAAGTGAAACCATCAAAAAAGCCATTGAGATTTGTGTTCAGACTGTGCGACTTGTGAGAATTTCTATCCTTGTGATTTAGGGGGTACAGTATGCATTAAGAGCCAGTACATTGTTCATCAAGTCACAGGAGCAGTGGGGTAGCCTAGTGGTTAAAGTGTTTGCTCATCATGCCGAAGGCCCGGGTTCGATTCCCCACATGGGCACAATGTGTGAAGCCCATTTCTGGTGTCCCCCGCCGTGATATTGCTGGAACATTGCTAAAAGTGGCTTAAAACCATAATCATTCAATCATCAAGTCACAAGTTTAGTGACCATGTTGTTTGATGACTCCAGCTTGCCCAGAACCCACTACCACAGGAGATGCTCAACCCTTTCTTCCTGAACGGAGCTCTGACGAAATCGCTGCAGTTGTCCATGCACTCGGAGGACAAGTTTGCTGACAATCTCAGCTTTGCCGTCAAGTATAGTCCTACAGTCTTCCAACCTAATGGTGAGTGTGGGAGGACTGAACCTAAAAGGTGGTCCATGGCTTGTGTAGTAATCTTCAGTAGTCATGAACACAGGGAATAGAAGTATCAGTATCTGCAACACTACATACTCATACTTGCTGTAGACGGGCTAAACATGGTGGCACATAGTCCTGTGTACAGGACACAGGTCACAACTGGGTGAAGTTAAGTAACATTGGTCACAGAGGCCTTAGAAGGGAGACCATTTTCGGTTGCTTGGCTCCTGAGAATTTCTACCGGGGGCATTGGTCCAGCTCCATGCTGGAGCACACGTAACACATGGGGTGTCTCTTGGGCAAGTGACTTCGTTCGAAACATGCCTTTGTTCATGCAGCAGTGAATAGGTACCTGGTAGGATTAGATTTCCTTACGGAGCAGAGACTGAAAAAGTGCCCAGGTAATAATAATGCAGAACTTTGAACATACATTGCATGTTATTATTTTATTTTTAACTTCTCCTGCTTTACATATTGGAACTAACAACCTGGAAATGAGGCCCGTGAAGATCCTGGGTAAAATAGGTCTTCAGCAACCCATGCTTGCCGTAAAGACGACTATGCTTGTTGTGGGGGCGACTAATGGGATCGGTGACTTGGTTGATGCAAATCATTGTATCCCAATTGCGTGGATCGATGCTCATGATGTCAGTCACTGGATTGTCTGGTCCAGATTCAATTATTTACAGACTGCCGTCATATAGCTGGAATATTGCTGAGTGCGGCATTAAACAACAAAAAACAAACAAACAAACCTGGAAATGAATGACAATCAGTAACAGTGTGAAACTCTCACACCAAAGGATTTCTTTGAAAATCCAGGTAGGATATCGTCTCTCGCGTCCTGCTTAGTCAACAAAGAAGAGAATAATGACATATAAGGGTCGTGTCTTCTGACACCAGATGTCACGGAGTAATGGAATACCTTGTATGATATTTGACATGAGTTGACAATAACCTGTAATCAGTACATTGGTTAAATAGTTATATAGATAACATTGTAATTCATGCTTCCTTCTTTTTTTTCAATAGCTCATGACACTTTGGACTGTTTGGAGCTGAGATACAAGGTAAGAAAAGGGATAGGTGTGTGTCGTCAACAACACTGAACAAACAACACAACAGGCTGGTTGGTCTGTGGTAATTACACCATGAACATACTGAATGCAGATTGTGTCACACTAACTGCCATAACTAATGTCATAATGATTTGAAAGTTTTCATATTCCAGGCATCAAATACTCATATGTCACCTGCTAATCTGATGAACAACCAGTCTAGAATGTTTCAGTGCAGTGAATTACTCTTCAGACAGTTTTTTCAACCAACATATCTGCTGCATTGATTCAGATTTTGTTTGCTAAATCCAGGTTGACTGGCCAATGAACATTGTGCTGACAGACAGCTGCATGACCAAGTATGGTCGCATCTTCTCATTCATGCTGCAGCTGAAGCGGCTGGTGTGGGCACTCAAGGACATCTTACACAGGCTCAAGAGAGACTGTGAGTTGCTTTGTCTCTTTTGGTATATGAATTTTGTTTTACGGTGCATTAATCCAGCCATATCATTGCAGGCCTGTTTCTAATATGAGTTTAGTTACGAATTCTTAAAGAGCTGATATCAGCACTTTTACTTGGGCATTTAAATGCTTTCTATGAATATTATGAATTTGCCTTCTCGGAAATTGACTATATGTATATAGAATTGATATTCACAGCAAAATAGCAATCATTTTTTGCTTTTAATGCATCTGTGTCATGCAATAAACGAAATCACCGCGTTTTACCACTTCATTCATCGGTTACTGGAGACCAGATCTTTCCCAGGAGTATCAGGGGGCTATAGATCAGTAGTGTTTAGTATTGGAAGGAGATTGTTCACATCTCATTCATGTTTAACATAGTTCACATTTCACTGATATCTATTGCAGCCATTATCAACAAGGCAGGGAACTCTCCACAGTTTAGGCGTCTTCAGCTGCACAGGTTGGTACTTTCCTTGTCAGTGTTCTAACCTAGGGATGAAAGTTACAGTGTCCTTGCCATAACACTTATGTGAAGATCAGGGCTTTACGTCATGCAAAGTATTGTGTCCTATATGCATTCAATTTGAGAATGCACACAAATAGTTTACATTGCGAGTCCTGTGGAATGCCAAAATATCTATGGCTATTTGAATTATTAGATCAAAATTGTAGTAGAGTGCATGTCACTTATCACTGTTATTTCAATTCTGCCAAGAAATACAAGGTTCAGCATGTTCAGTGTGTCAGTGGTTGAATTTCTTTCAAGTCCAAATTTGTGGTAGGTCTATGGCCTTTGAGCATGTATATACAATGACTTGATGTTAGTAAACAACATGGAAATCAAATGAAGCATAACAACCTGGGACCCCTATCTTCTTGCCTTGGACTCCCAAAACTTATTGCTGAGAGTCGAATAGATAAACCCTGGTAAATCCTTGAACTTCAGGGTTTTAAGATTAAGGTCAGACGTCTCCTTCAATTTTTATATTGCTATTGCGTCAGTGTTAAAATATAAGTGTTTTTCTTGTAATAAAGAAAATGTATGGCACTTTGAAGGTATATTGATGATGTTGCAGGTGGGAGATGGTGCACTTTGTGAAGGTAATACAGGAGTACATCGCTAACCAGATTCTCCTGCTGACCTGGTCGGAGTTCATGGACGCTGTGCACACTGATGTCCATAATCTGGATGACCTGCACCATGTACATGCACGGTACCTGGAGAACGCCATCTTCAGGTTTGTTGCATGTAACTCATTTAACCATCCTCAATTTCCTAGTGTATTTCGTCTCTATTCTATTGTGATAGCTAACCTGGACCCATTCGCCACCTTAGCTTTGTTTTGGAAGTAATGTTACCATCCCCATTTTTCTTCTCACTGACTTAACACAGAATTTCGCTCACTCATGAGCTTGAAATATAAAATACAATCAAACTGATTCTTCTATGGTGGACAATTGTTTCAAATTAATGCAATTTATTCTGAGATTTATTTTTCTCCAGATCTCTACAGAACAAGAAAGCTGCTTTTGTTATGAAAATCATTCAGGATACCTTCTCTCTCATCCTGAAGTTCCGTTCTCAGCTTGTCAGCGCCCCTTGGATAAGAGATGCCAACACAGGGGAAATGACTCACCCTAATTTCAACAACATGGTGGCCTCTTATGATGCATTTAAAGCATATACCCTCTTCCTCTTTAAAGGTAAGTTAGATAACAAGAATCACAAAATAGGTAGGATAATATTCAAACTTCAATCAACTGGTCTAAATGAAAGGATACACTTGGACTTACACAAAAATAATGAAAGGTGGGAACAAATCTGTAAAGAATGGTTATTTTACCATAAAATAAATGTGCATACAATAGATTAAACTACCAACGAAACAAGCTTAACTAACCCCTCACCAAACACCTAACCCAAAACAATCTGTAAACCAAGATCTGGGCTAACCGAAATACTGTTGAAAGCTGTTATAGTCCTGATTCATTTAGTGCAGTACAAGGGCAGCTCCAGCATTTAAAAGGGAGGGCTCCAAAATATCAAAATCCTCTCTCAGTCAACTTTAATACCTACCTCATACTACATTTGTTTTTTAAAGTGTGTGTGTGTGTGTGTGTGTGTGTGTTTCCTCTTCCCCCTCCCCCCCCATGCAGTACGTAAATTATACATAGCAACTTTATATGCAGGTTAGAATATAAGTCTGAGGGCTTTCATGACATTTATAAAACCCTCATCAAGGTGGCATCAGCCCTGAGATTTAATCCCGACCATGAGTGTTTTAAATCTCACAAAAGCCATGGACTTGTTTTATCCTACACATAATGTTGCTGTGTAGAGGTTCATGATTGTAGTTAAGCTTGTCTCATGGGTTGAGTCGGAAGTGTTTTATCTTACTTATATCATGTTTCTACTGAAAGAAAAATCTGAAACATTTATCAACAATTTGCTGTTTCAAACAGTTTCAATGAACCTTAGGAAACGGACATAACATATCTCTTCCTGGCATAATGTACTTGAAAAAGAGATTCTTAAAGCAGTATGATTTATCAGTGCCTCTGTAGCCCTGTGTTTCTCTCACTGGGTCACAGACAAAAAGGTTACAGGTTCGATCCACTGAAATATAAGATCAACGATATTTTGTGTGTGAAAATTCTGCAGTATTTTATGTGTAAAACAAGGGGGATTTTATCTATAAAATCCCGTAATTTCATACACTGAACAAAAAAGTTAGGGATCTTAAAATGTTTTATATGCCGTATAAAACTCAATCTCCATTTCAAAATATATATCCTGAAAATATTCATAAATCCCTAATAAAAAAGAATCTGTTCACTGTATACGAAATCCTGTCTGTTGCACAAGTTGGGGATTTGATGGGATATAAAGACAATGACAGGACAGTGGGATGACATCACTGGAGGTATAAACACAAAAGTACATGTCAGTTAAATAATTCTGTGTTGGCTATAGGCACCATGATGGTCATCTTGTTTTATGACCCAAGTTTCTAGGCTAAAGTAGCACTTGGAATAGATATTTGGCATGAGATATGAGATCTCGTACTGAGATATTTGTGTATTTTGAAATATAGGTATGCTCCTCATTTTTTAGGGTTCATGATAAACAAAAAAAATATTTTTTTAATTTCCCTTTCACTGTAAACATGTTGAAAGGGTCAGTGGTCTTGGTTCTATTTTTACTTTACAACAAAAATGCTTTTAGAAATGTATTTTTGTGAAACTGTTGCATTGCAGTTGTGAAGAAGCTTGCTCTCCGGGGCTACCAGCCTCATCTCCAGGAGCTGCTGCTGAGATTCAACTTCAACAACCACTACGACAATAGCTAGACCATCTTCATCCCTCAGATGTGCTGTAAAAGTCAGGGCACCATTTCCTTGTCAGCATTTTCTTGAGCCTTCCAGTTATGTTTGTCATGCAAATGAAGTGTCAGGTTATTAATGAATTAGTGTGCATGGTATGAAACAATTCTACACAAGGGAACTGTACTAATAAAAGCAATGCAACATGTGGTTGACAAAAGTCCATGGTAATTTGATTCGGTCTATGATAAAGTAACATGTTCAAGACCAATATAGTCTGTGACAGCTGTTTGAGTTAGTGTTACAAGTTATATATTCCACATAAAGTCGTAAATAACGATCTGATTGGGTGTATGATAAAGTGAGGTGATGTATCATGACTAAAATTTTCATTTACCTAGTCTATAGTACAAATTCTTCAAGAACATGTAGCGATAACTGCTTACCGCTAACCAGCATGTTTTAGATACATATACTTGAATCAACAAATTTACAGCTAGTTTGGCTAAATAATTGTCCCATAGCCCCAATTGCATTTGGGATGGTTTTCCCATTTATATCTCTGTAAGTACTAGTAACATATTACAGGTTAGTTTCTAATTTTGCTATTCTGGGAGTAGCGGGTCTAAAAGTATTACTGGAAAAAAATAATTTGGCCTCAGATAGACATCTCACTATGAAACCCTGTGGATTGTTCCATTCATAAACTCACAGTATTACAGATGGTTCCAAGTTTGCCAGGAGGGCTTTCAATCTTCAAAATGCTCCATCAAATATTCAGGAACTAATTTGAATTTGATAAATCTAATCGAAAGAATAAAGATGTGAATGAAATTTGTGAATTATTTCCAGAAACTTGTAAATCACTGGTATGTGATCCTGTTTGCATACAAATACCTCATGTGCCCATGCATTTATAACAAGAATTTTGTGCTTGCTTTTGTTTCTGTGTATAATCCGTCCTTTCAGTTGCAAGTAATCTCATATTTCTACATGCATGTATAATTTGTACAAATATTGAAATTTTGTAAATTTGAAAATAAATTAAACTGTGATATATTTTGAAATGTTTTTCAATACTGTAAACACAAAACTTCTTAATGTTTGAACCTGTATTTCATACCAAGGTTAAAAAGCTACTTTGGATGGCTTGATAAAAGTTGTTGTACTATAAATAAGCTTTGTCAACTCATTTATTGTATGCGATGTTTTAGTGTAGATTGGATAATTGTGTAAACAAATATAAGTTTTGCATACTCACATAATATTTATTATCCTTTAACTGAAGTGACATACATTCACAATTTTACACACACATAAATACATCAACTCAAGCATCAGACGCGTCCATCCAGACACCCATCGAATGGGATTCCAACCTGTACAACGACAATGTTTGATTGATGATTATCTCATGTCTAAAAACGCAGAACAACATTGATTTTTATGGCCATTTTACCAAATATTACAAAATTTAGAATATGAGTTTTCAAAGTGCATCAGTATATATACACTTTTGAAGACATTCATACACATACACACTATAAGATTCATACTTATTGGTACTTCACACACACTCCGTGACACTCGCATCATTCTGTTTTGTACATTGTTATCATGGTTATTGTCAATGTCCCATAACTTCTCGCTGTCTTCTTGGGGTGTGTGTTCTGCTTCTGTCTTCTCTGATAAAAACCAAAGGCGTCATCTTAAGATTTGGGGACATTTTTGAAGACGAGCTAAGTTGAATAAGATATGAATAAGATGTCTGTGTTGGGTTAGATGTAGAGGCTTCCCCAGTTACTGTAAATCTTGAAATTAACGTGAGCGTCAATTAAATGTGAATAATATGAGTGGTCTTTGCTTGCATTAACTAAACTTCGCATATGTCTGAAAAATGACTATGAACAAGAAAACGGCCTCACTGCACAAATACCAACTTGGATATAAACAAACAACTATATATTTGAGATGATTTTGTTCTTGTATTTGTAGCGCTGTATACAAGGAAAAAAATTAACACCAGCCAATTTTGCCAAATTGTTTCAAGAATGCCAGAAGAATGGCAAACTTTTTTATTTGTCTGCCTTATATGCCACTGCTGTTCAGACAATAGCCAACTTAACATGTTAATTCCTACCCCTGAGTATCTAGTTGATTGGTCATTTTGCGATGTTAAAATTTAGGGTGTTTCACAAAATATTAACAGGACCAGCAGATCTCAGTGTTAAGTTCTATCTCTGCAATGTCTACTCCAGGTACAGAGCTACAGATAAGCTGCAAATTTGCGTAAAATTCACCAAAAAAATTATTCAAAACCGAATTATTTTCAGTTAACTTGTATGCAGAAACAGTACGGTAAATACCCAATGAAGCTTTTTCAGCATGCGTACACAAAGCTTATTTCCAAAACACAGTTACGAGCTTATTTACTTTCCGAGTCAAGCCTGTATTTAGAACCGTTATATACATTTAAAACATTTCATTTTTTTTTAAATCTCAAAATGTTTACTCATTTTGGGAAACAAACCTGATAGATCTAGAGTGATGAATAGATAAGAGAAAAAAATATTGGTTACCCATTGAAAAATGTAACAACCCAATTAAACAAGAAACCTTTGAGTAAAAACTCTAGCTCAAAAAGTTATCTGGAGCTCTGAGGTATCAAAGGTTATCCAACCTAAAAACCAAAGTAAAACCCAAGTGAAAATACACATTATTTATTTGATCAACATTAATATTGTAAAATGTCCAAAAGGTCCTTTATGTGTCTCTATATCTGAAAATATCCCACAGTGACTGTTCAGATTATGTACAGGGTTACAAGATGCCACTAAGAAGCGTCCATCTTGCCAGCACTGAACACTCTCCTGAAAAACTTGGCCACACGTGATAACAACTCTCTCACAGGGGAGCGGGCCTCCTTGTCATCACCCAGAAGGATTTCCACAAAGTGACTGTCGTCCATGTAGATGATGTCGGGGATGGGGACAGACACTGACAGGGAGACAGGGTCAGGAGAGGAGACAGGTGTGTGGGGGGTGGGCAGATCTGAGAGGGGGTAGGGTCGGGTCTGGACACTAGGACGCTGATAGGAAGGGGAAGATAAGTAGACAGTGATAGAGTAGGAGAAAAGGCATGAGGGTTGTGAAATAGTTTGACATGTTAGAAAGATGACTGAAATAGGGGAAGCAGCGTTAGAAACTGGTACTAGTCCTGTAGTCCTTACCAAACTGCCCAATAGTAATGGTATCCTAAGGACTAGTAGAAATTGGCCCATTTTAAGGGTTTTGCTATATGTTATCATTATAAGGACTAGTGGACAAAAACTGTTAGTTTCTAACTCTGGGAAGGAATTACAGGGATACTGGGTGAAGTCTGTGAAGATATTCCGTATTCTTCTGAATAAAGCAGAGTTTTTAGAGGACATTTGCTAACATAAGCATGACATGTTATAATCTACCAATGTGCCACTGCCACCTACTTTGCGTGGAGCAGGAGGGGCCCAGATGGCGAAATTCAGAGGAAACCGAACCACAAGATCCAAATCTATAAAGAACGGACATGAAAATTGTTAAAAGAAGACATTCCTACAAAGAAAAGCGTAGCCTCACAAACAGAACAAAAACAACTGTCACATTCGTGGCAGGCTGTAGAAGGCTTGTGATCGGCCCTTTATGTGTCTATAAAATGTTATAATTTGAATCGAAATTCCATGAATATTCAATAGTCAATTACAATTTGGAAACAGAATAGCTGTCAAAGATTGATTTGATGCAGGTTTCAAAATGAATTAAAAACTTAATGAAATAAGAATGAATTAGAAAGATTTAAATACAGAACAAACCTTGAACGTAACGATTCATGGTGCACAAGACGTAAGAATCGTTGACTATCAACCAGATGAGCGCAAATATACGAGATGAGCAGACGAAACACAACAACAACAATGGCTGCGATTTACATCCGAAGTAAGGTTCGTCGTCAAGACGACGTCACAAGTCACACGAGAGCGTCAGAGTATCGCGTGATGTCAGGAATCAAGACTGGTTATAGCGTAGGAAATCGAAAAACTATTTGCGCCCAATTATAAACCCAGTCTCGCTGGAAGGCGAGTTGACAGTTTAGGTGGCGCGAAGTTTAAACAAATGAATCTTTCTTTAAAGATGCTGACACTTAACGGGAACAGGTCAAAACGGCCTCATGCCAGAATGACCTCAAAGGGTAAAGTTGGTGGGTAAATCAGTGGAAGGGCTATTTGATGGTTATTGAACAATAACAGATCATCGATATACCTTCTTGGCCAAATTACCTTTTTGGACTTTGCCAATTAGAGCAGAAATTCTGATTCATATGCTTAAAGAAACAGATCAGTAAGAAGAGGGGCTCAAGTGGTGCCCATGGGGATACCTACTTCTTACCTAAATGTCGCATCTCAAATTCACACGTGTTATCAATGAGGAAGTCCAGCATTTCACATATTGTTTTCTCGGTAAACTTCATATCGCATTGGCTTCATTTTTTGATGAATTGCCTTGAACATCTGAAGATGGATATGTAACTATATCTGTGGTCTTCACGTTTTGTTACCCCCAGAGAATCCGGGGTAGAATCTGTCTCAAGTAACCCATGCTTTGTCATAATGGCAACTATTCTCGCCGTAAGAGGCGACGGGGTCAGGTGGTCAGGCTCGCTTGCTTGGTTCTTGCATGTCATCGTATCCCAATTGCGTAGATCGATACGTATGATATCAATCACTGGATTGTCTGGTCCAGACTCGATTAGTTACAGACCGCCGTAATATAGCTGGAATATTGCTGTGTGCGGCGTTAAACAACAAACAAACCACGTTTTGTAACAAAAGCCCCATGAGTCAAGGAATGAAGTTTTTCCTGTGTGTGTCATTTGGGCTCCGAGTCTCGTGGTGTACAATGTTTTCTCAGAATTGGTTCTTTCCTGAGATTGAAAAAAGTCAATCAAAGCAGCTGAGTGGGATAGAAAAATGGGTTTGATCCATATCTGTTTTCCCCCCTTTTTCAGTTTGTGCATTCTACATCACGCACTGACTTAACCCACTCTGAAAGACGTTCAACGGGTTCTTGACCGCCTCCGTGGTCTAGTGGTAGAGCGTCCGCCTGGAGAGCGGAATGTCCGGGGTTCGATCCCTGGCCGCGTCATAAAAAAAGACGTTAAAAAATGGTCATTGTAACCCTGCTTGCATGCACGTCGGTATATAAGTGCAATTATCTTGGACGCGGTGTTAAACCCTATTTCACCTCACCAGGTTTTTTGGCCCATTTATTGGCATACGCTTCCACAAGTATTGTAAAGTTGTAACCCAAACTGGCAGCAGATGGTTCACGATATTCTGGGACATATTTGAATAACCGACGAAGGTTGTTACTATCAACATCATACAAGTCACTTGTAAGTATATGACCAACAGGTTGGTGGCTGTATGATGAGTCTTGGCAGGCACAAGGAGTGGAATTTACATCAGGAGCTGCCAAGTCCACGTTCTGCAACACGTTCCCATAACTGAACAACATGGATGAAATAGTGTTGGTAAAGGAAAAAGAAACTGTTGGTGGTTCCTGAAATTTAAAATAATGTGGCACATTTTGGGAAACTGATTTTTGTCTGAGAATGGTACCGTTTTTGTCAACGGCACGAATAAAAAATGCTTATATCTTGCAACTGCCGTAATATAGCAACTGCAAGATACAAGCATTTTTTATTTGTGCGATTGACAAAAACATATCTAACACCATTTGGTTCTTATCACATAATCCCAAAGAATAGTATGCACGATGTAGTATTTCTCAACTTACTTTAATTCTAAACCTCATTAATGTTGTGGCATATTTATATAAACAAATGTCAGATTAGGTTTCATGCACTGTATATTTCACACAGGTGTTCGCAGTATCGTCACGTGGTGTCGTGGTTACGAGTATAACCAATCAGAGATCACTTCCGTTGCACGAGTTTTTGGTGCGCGTTAATTCCAGACGCCATAAATTGAAGCAGACGTAGTGTATTTTCAACTGTGCCGGAGCATGTCCATTTATTTCAAACAAGGTGTGAAAATTCATTTAAAGCCGAAATGAAAATGAGATCGCCACTATTTATTGATGTTTCTACTACATTCGCGCTACAACTAACGTAAAGAAAAAAAAATTATGTCAGTTTTGAAGGCTTTCCACGAAGAAACGTTTTTCAAGTTGAAAATGTCAAGGTAAGTGGATGCAGGAATACGTAATGAAGCCAGCCATTTGTGTACATGCAGTGTAGACTATAATCACACATGTCCTATTTGTGCTATTTATTGATGGTTGTGAGGACGAACAAAGTGTATAACGCCACTCCAAACAGTACTGACATGTGAACGACATGATAATGGTATAAAGTGAATTGTCCCTTGTTTTCTGACAGTGTGGTTAAGAGTTTTCAAGGTATGGTTAGTTTAGCTGTGGGAAAAGTGTTCGCTCGTGACTCGAAAACGAGTACGATTCACCAGAGTTGTGCCTCCCATTGTGATATAGCGGGGATATTGCTGAATGTGGTGTACAATCATATCTACCTTGACATTCAAACAGCGGGTTGGAGCGTTCATGTCTTTACTCGGAACAATATGTAGTTTGTTTTACGTTAGCTGTATTGCTATATCAACTTTCTGCATCAGCTCATACACTGCGATACCAGTGTTAGTCGGTCCTTATCATGCAAGGGTTGTCTGGCAAATCCAGTATAAGCCTCAAATATCTAGGACAAGAAAACTTGATGCAATGCATCAACACCTCGGCAAACTCTCTAACAAACAGTACACTAAATATCAGCATTAAATACTTACAGAAATTGTTAATGGAAAATTAAGGTAATAATATTAGGGGTATAAACAACCTAAATGGGTGACGTATATATTCCGACTTATTACACCTGTAAAGGACTATGTTATTTCAACACATTGTCTTCATTTAAATACCAACTATACCAAAGCTGCTGTGTTTTATATCCAGCATATATTTTGTATTCAGCTATTTGTCTCTACTTGAGGACATAATCGAGATACTCGTAATACTCGTGTTCGTCGAAGGAGACGGTCGCACGTAACATCGCTCTGAGAAAAGTGCTACTTATCTCATGATCTGTACAGCTGTACTAATTGAGGAAGTACCTACTTACAGCTGAGCATTACAGGAATAAATGCCGTGAAAACGAAGTTTCTAGGAAACTGAGTTTTATGTTGTTTTTGGTTAAAATCTGTAAAACTATTTGCAATAACAAAACTATCTCTCCACGCATGTGTTAACAACCCAAGCCTGCCCAACAATGGAGTCTCCACCAGAGACGCACAGTGAGCGCTCGGGTACTGATTGGCCAACAATAGAAGAATCCGACGAGGTCTGCAGTACACAGCCCAGCGATGAACAGGACAAAGCCATGTATCTGGAGATTAAGAAAAAACTTGGACACAAAGAACAGCGATCATTCATGGAAAGCTTACTTGGTATCTACGACAAAAGCATGAAGGAAATCAATCACGTCAGAAAGAGCTTATACGATTATGCAAAGGATAATTGTGACAACTTTCCACCAGGATCGCTTGTCAAACGACGAAATACAAATGGCGGTGTTCACAATGCCCTCGATAAATGTGCACAAGATGTATACTATCTTTTCCACTTCATTGAAGCAGGTGTACCAGATCATGTACTCCAGTCTAAAGTACTCAGTAGGGCGAGTGTCAGGACTATGTCCTTGTCAGTTATACCTTCGTACGACAACGATGAAAATGACGCTTACATTGATACAGATCGAAAACTAACAGGCGATACTGATGCCATTGGGCTCATACTGAGTCACATCGTGCAACTTAAACAGTGTGTCTCACAGGCTACAAAATCCACTGACAAGAAGCTCTCGGATATCGAGTTGAAACTTAATGAAGACCTGTCACAAAAAGATCTTGAAATCGGCCACAAGAGCAAGACAATTGACGACCTTGCTAAAAGGCTGGAAGATTCAGAACTAAGACGATCGGAATTAAGAGCACAACTCAAACTCGACTCACAAGAAATTAAAACTCTCAAGGAAAGAGTTCAGGAGCTTGAGCATGAACTACTTCGTCTTAATTATCAAAGAGACACCAAACTAAAGACTATTGATAATAAGATAGGCAACGTCATTTCCAAGATGAAGCTCTCGTATGCCAGCGCAGTAAAATCGCCCCCCAAATCAACTGATGTACCCACTGAACAGACTCAAACTGCATCAACAACGATCACCCCTGACACTACCCAGTGCCAGCCCACACCCACACAACCTTCAACGAACGCAAACAGTCATGACAACGAAAAGACTGAGAAACAGAGCACATCATACAAGGAGAGAATCTCACAAAATACAACATCAGAAACAACGACTTCAAAACCAAATGAGAAACCACGTATGGTAGATTTGACAAACACTGATCTTCTGTGGATGTCTACAATGATAACGTCCATGGTCTAGTGTTTTCCGGCATGGAAGATGCTGACAACTCTCACCCTGTCCATCCTCACACAGGAAGTCACTCTGATAAACCTTCAGGCACCTACAAGATCAAGTCACTGGCTAAATCCTACAACACACTTGAAGGGGTTTCAAGAGTCCGGACCAAAAGAGTTGTCCTCTCTAATATCAGGGCAGACAAATCTTTTGATGATGTCAAACAGTTAATCTTTGCATACGCACATGAACGCCACGTACGTGTTACTCATGCACGCCTGCTGAAGAAACGTGTCCACTACGACAATACAGAGACATACACAGTTCAAGTCAATATGTCATGTGACGATTATGATTATGTCATTAATGACAAAAAGTTCTGGCCTGAAGATATACAATGTCGTGACTACGTTCCGCGCTTCAGGAACTATGAAAAGCACGGTCAGTACAGTGATAACAACCAAAGACGTCGGTAGAAAACATGCATTAGTG